TCCGCTCTTCTGCGGTCGATCGAGGACGCGTTGCATGCTCATTGGACTCCCAAGTACATGTCCGCAGCCTGAGCTGGCAATGGACAGCAAGCAACCAAAGCATTTCCGCAAGAGGCATGAGCTAAGACTCTTAGGGTTGGTCACCAGCCAAAAACCGCGAAAACTACACCTAGAAGAAGCGTCCAGAGGCTTCAGGGCCACTTAACAGCGACAAAGCGAGGTTTCAAGGTCAGAAATGCTGTGGTTGGGGGTAGTATGTCGGGTAGAACCTTGTAGACTTTAGAGTGCATCATGAAAAATATTCTGACACGACAGCAGCTGCAAGCTTCCAGCTCCATTTCTTTCGTTTGGATGAAGATTTTCGGACAGTTCTGAATGCTCGCTGTGTTGATGCTTCGCCTTGACTGGCTGGCAATTGAGTCTCCGACTGAGAAGCGCCTTCACTTCACTGCAGGCGCTGCAGACCCAGCAGACGGAATCGCAAAGCTCCCGGATGCTTACGGTAGACCTTGAAAGGAGGGTGTCGGACACCATGGAGGCAGCCAGCGGGGATCACACGATGTCTCAGTCTAGTTCCAAGCTTTGCAGGTCATGGGGGTACTAGCACAAGCCTTGAGCGACCTTGAGCTATGTCCAACCAGCAGGCACTCCAGGAGCAGAAGGACAGCGATCGCAGCGCGGTCCACACCGTCGTCAAGGAGCAGATGCACAAGCTGAGACATGACTTCTTGTCGAAGTTCCAGGCCGATGGGATCCTGTCTTTATCTTTGCTGATGCTCCCAGCAGGGTGTTTTTCTTTTCAGTAGCTTCTATACCAGTATTTTTTGCCGTTGGGGCATCCTTGGCAGGCCATGTGGGATGCCCAGGAACAGGACCGCGCTTCTGCGGCAAAGCTCGTGGAAGAGCAGATGCAGCGCCTCAAAGGTGATCTCACCGGGGAGGTCTCGGCACAGCTTCGCGATGTCCAATCCCTGCACAGCGACCTCTTTCCACAGCTCCGGGATCTTCAGACCAGCTTCCTGGAACAGCTGAAGGACTCTTTGCGATCCTCTTCCCCCCCGCACACCTTCGCAGAATTGCTACGTGCACACACACACAGACCTTAGCCCGTGAGAGCAGGATGTCAAAAATCGCAGTGACCACTCGGAGGTGCTCCGAGCGATTCAAGAGCCTTTGCCTGAATTTTTCCAAAAAGATGCTCAACAGCGGGCCACGGTTCAACCTTGAAAAGATGGAGTAGACTTGAGTAAGCTTGAGCAGACTTGAGTAATCCATTGAATTCTTGAGTCAACAAGGGTGAGTTCCGTGAACCATGGAACGCCGAGGAGCAGAAGGAGCAGAGGGAGCAGAAGCTCGAAGGACTTGAAGGTTCTCTCTCGCAGGTGATGAGCGCGATCCGTTCGCAGCCAGGCACCGGCCAACCTTGACATGCCACAGCTCTGAAATGTTCTGGGGCCATGTTGCTGTAAGAACATTCTAAGTATGTTGCGCTGCCCGTGCCTGTTAGTTAATCTATGTCTCGTCACGTTGACTTTTTGGCTGGTGTCAGATTTGACCCCGATTCTGGGCGGCATTCGCGAGACCCAGGAGATTACCCAGGCAGGCCTATGCCAGGTCACTTTTCTTGATCTGAACTTTGCGCCTGTGCTCAGGGGCTGAGAAATTCACTTCGCTCGTGGCGCGCAGAGCTTGCTGCAAATGCACACGGGGCCCACGGGGCGGAGATCGGTGGCACGAACGAGTCGAACGAGCACGTTCAGCCCGCGGCAATGTCGCTTGCCAAAGTTGAGCCATTCCAAGTTTTTTCCATCTCCAGGCAACGCACGAGAGAGAAGGTAGCCAAAATAAGACGTCCGAGGTCTTGGGAATCTCAGGAGGTGATCTCTGATTTGCTGACTGACAAGCTTGGCCATCAGACCGGCACCATTCAGCAATTGCTGCACGACTTCCTGCAGCGACTGGACTTCTCCTCTGTCGTCATGGCAATCAGGGAGCGAACTGCGGACATGAAGGCGGCTCTGATTGAGCAGGGTGATCAGGTGACGAGCAAGCTGAAGTCCTTGCAGCAGCAGCTGCAAGAACTGGAGCCTGGCTCAGCACCGTCAGCACCGGTCCAAAGATCGGTTCCGCAAGAGGACCTCAAAGAAGTATTGGCAGCCATCAAATCTATCAGGGAATCTGGCCACCCGACAGGTCCACAGAGTGTTGACCTGTCTGAGGTCCTGGATGCAATCAGAGCAGTGCCTGCAAATGTGGATCTCTCGTACGAGTTTTCCGCCGTCCTGACGGCAATCCAAGAGAAGCAGCCAGACTTCGACCTTCCAGCAATTCAGTCGATTGTTAGCGATAGCAAGCAGGACATCCTCTTGCAGATAGAAGATATGAGGAGCCTCTTCACCCGCTCGCAGGCCGGTGTGCTATGGACTTTTTGTGCATGCCATGAACAGACTACAGTGTATTGCAGTGTATTGCAGTGTCCAAAAACAACACCAATACCAGCCCCAGGAGTTTCGTTCTTGCAAGCGTTGCGAGGCGCCGCTGGACGTGTCCCGGTCTCCCTCGAGAAAGATTCCGGAAGGACTCAGGGCCGTCTCCCCTATGCAGGTGCAGGACGGTGACTTGTCTACCATCCTGTCAGCGATCAAGGACCAGAAGGCCACCCCAGCAACCCCCAGCTGCCCCAGCTCTTAGGGAACATGCCCCACAGTGGAGCGGCGGTTTGGGCACACTCTTGATGCTGCTGTGCAACGTGGGTATGGAAAGGTGTCCATCGACTTCTCCGTAGCTCAAGTCCTCAACAACATTCAGCAGAAGCAGCAAGAAGCAATCGCCCCTTGGCCGCCGGTTTTCCCTTGTTGCCAGCAGGAGGATAGGCTTGGACATCAGCTGGACATCATCCTATACATTGAGATCCCATTTTGCGTGTAGCCAGCGCATCCACTTGCTTCAGAACCAGATTCGACAAAGGGTACCCGAGACTCCCCCCCCCGTCCTCAGCGTAGGATCGGATAGAGAAGACGGAGAAGCAGCTGGACCATCTCAAGGAGGGCTTGCACAAGCTGAACGGCCAGGCCGGAGTTGTCTCAGCGACGGCCCTGACCCATCCGCAAAGCCCCATTCAGATCCTGAAACGTCTTCTCTCAACTCCCTTCTGAACAGCCTGTTTACAAAGTCCCCTAGCATCTGGAAAGCCCTCCGGCCCTGTAAGCCCTAGAAGCCCCCATACACCCGAAAACCCTAAACCCTAAGCCCTAAGCCCTAAACCCTAAACCCTAAACCCTAAACCCTCGCCAGGAGGTGCGGCCCCGGAGTGCCACGCCCAACCCCTCCCCGTGCTCCCCACGGTGCGGCCGCTTCCAAGCGCAGCAGTGGCTGCACCTCCCGGGCGCGCCCTGGACCGGGGGGTGGCGAGGGCTGTGAGCTGAGAGGAGGATGAGTTTTTCTTTAAATAGTCTTGCATTTCCTTTTTGTATGTATGTTTTGGAGTGGCAGGGAACGGTGCATACGTGATTCTTTGGCATGCATCTCTTCCCGAAATCAGCTCAAGCCTCTGCTCCAAGGGGTAGAAAGTTGTTCCCCTTCAGACTGCTCAGAACTATTCCCGACCAAAGCATGGAAGCCCCGCTGTGAAATCATGCGTTCTGCGAGGGATAGGGTTAGGGATGATCAAAGATAGTATTTTTGTTTCTTACATTCTTGTTGGTATGATTGTTACTATCTTTTTTTAGGACTGTTATTCTTGGAGTTGTAGGTCTTGATAGGATGATTCTTATGGTTACTCGCTTGTGCGTCATGGTTGTTATGACGATTGTGACTATAACCATGATTGTTGTGATTGTTATGATGGTTCTCATGATGGTGGTTATTGCTGTTCCTATTATCGTTATTCTTGTTCTTGTTCAGGCTAACAAAGATCTACAGCGCGTTCCACATTTTCCAGGGTTTCTGAGTTTAGTGTTAGCTTGAGTTGTTGGATGATCTGTTGTTGGATGATCCGATTCCTCCCTTTGAAGTTGCACGACGTTTGATCGGACATCCTCGGCAATGTTGTGTTCCACTGCGTGCGTGTCATTGACCCAGACAAAACTTGACAGGCCCTTGGGTTGCATTGTTTCTTCTTACTTTTTCACTTGCATCTCGTCTTGGAGGATTCCGCCTGGCATCCTCGGCCTGGATGAGATGAATCGACGCGACTGACTTGGCCTGTGGAGTGCGTCCACGGTAGCCGCTGTTAACGGATCCCCAATTCTTGCGCGAAAAGCTTGAACGCGCAACAGCGTTGCGGGCTAACGCCCGTGAGGACGTCTGTAAACGCCCTTGTGCGTCCAGAGCATCGGCCAGAGCGCCAGACGCTTCAAGGGCTCCCGTGCTGCGGCCCTCAATTTTTTTAGATCGCTAGATGCTCGGACACGACATCGAACCAGACTCATGTTGCTCCCTCAACGAGCCCTAACCTTGAGTTAGCTACACTTTCAGCACACAGCAAGTAGTTTTGGATCGTCAGGAAGGGTAGCTTCGAAGCCATGTCGTCCTGCCAAAGGCAGATGAGCAGTCAGATTTCTGGCAGCCGCTTGTAGACATCGGACGTCGCATTGGGCGGTCAGGATCTTCGGGCAAGCCTGCACCAGCAAAGTTCCATAAAAGTTCCTGAACGCTGTTGCCATGTTCGGTTTCAGCAGCGATCATTGCCAAACACCTGGCGGGCAGTCCAAGATGGAGTTGGCCTTGCCAGGGCGTACCATAGGATGCCCTGGGGTTCGATTGCAATTGCTCGACAGAGGCTGGTCTAAGTAGCAGCCCTCGAAAGAGCCCCCCCCCCCCCCTAGGCCTTTAGGTATCCCACAGAGGGGCGGGCAGCTGCTGTATCACATCCTCAGGGCAGTTTAGCCGTCGTATCCTACCATTGTGCGACGGTGGCAGCAAGTTCTTGGCTTCAGACTGCCCTCGGCACAACTGCACGAGCGTAAGTGGTGCAGAAGTTAGTCATGAAGTCTTCTGAGGCGTGGAAACGGCACTTCCAGCAGTGCTTGGAGCCGGCGGCTCAGCAACTTCGTGGACGCAACCTGATCCTGAATGTTCAAGCCTGACATGGAGCAAACCATAACCTCAACGCAGCGACCGGCATCAAGAGCCGCGGATCTTTTACAAAGCGGCAGCCGGATCAAGAGCACCGAATCCTTTGAGAGGCGCTCCAGAACCTGCAAACTAAACCATCCTTCCAACCGAAGCCCACCTGATGTTTGCCATTCTTGCCTACTTAAAAACTCGCGCGCTTGGGGTCATCTTCTTAGAACCCTATCGCTCAAAGGGGGGGCCATCTTTCAACTCCAACCCCAAGCACCCCTCTCATCCCTCTCAGGGCCTGAAGCAGAAGGAGAAGACCGAGGTCAAGGCGCGGCCTGGCCCCAGTGAAAGAGTGGCCAAGCTCTCAGAGTCCCAAATCGCATCGCTAGGTTTGGGGTTTAGTTTGGGGTTTAGGGTTTAGGGTTTAGGGTTTTTAGGGTTTTTAGGGTTTTTAGGGTTTTTAGGGTTTTTAGGGTTTTTAGGGTTTTTAGGGTTTTTAGGGTTTTTAGGGTTTTTAGGGTTTTTAGGGTTTTTAGGGTTTAGGGTTCCCCTTTACTTTCGGGGGTGGATCTTGGAGGTGGGGGCCCTGCGCCTCCTTGCGCTCATGCGGGACGAGGCGCGCGAGTGCACGATCACTTGAGGGTGCATGGCCGGTTCTCGAAATTCTGTCCCTTGAGGAGTCCAAACCCTCAACTCACTGTGTGTTTTTAGGACACGATCAAGCCACTGGCCTGCCAGCTGGCCCCTCGCCCAGAATCTGGATGGTTGAAAACCGGTGGACCATATTGATCTGAGTATTTGATGTTGAGGCGCCTTGGTCTGGAGCCACTCCGTCAATGCTCTTCTCATCTCTTCTCTTCTTTCTCTCTAGCGTCGAGGATCGGGTCATGCCACACATTGCCGAGATGCTCAATGACGCCGACGGCTCAACCCCTCACTTCAGCAGCTCCCTGGTGAGTTGCGGTGCATGTGTGCCCAGCCCAAAGCGCGCCAACTCCAGTTCCTGGGCTGCAGGTGAAGCGCGAGGTGCGCCAGACCGTTGGGGGCTCGGTAGCCGGGTGGGGCATACGAGCGAACTGTCACATTCGGACGAGGGGCCTGGATGGCTATGGATATGACAATGGTGGAAATATGGATAGCCAGTATCATGCTGAGGCCGCAGATGCCGCAAAGGTTCTTTTCGAATGCGCCCAGAACAAGGCCAGGCACATCCGGGCTTTTGCCTGACAGGGCGTAGCTATTGTACGTGTTCCTAGCCGGAGGAGCGGTTCCCTCATGGCAAGTAAGATTCTCAGGGGCACGGATGCTTGCAGTTCGGCTATGTTCAGTTTCTTTCGGGTTCAGGGCTGGTCCCCCGCATATGGGGTTTTGTGTTATCATCAGACATTTTGTCTGACAGTTGTTTTGTGGCACATGCAGGATCTGGATCCGTATCTCGATGAGATCATCAAGGCAACGGGGCGGGGGTGGGGGGTGACGGCAGACCGGTCGCTTGTGCCCACCTCACCTGGGTCACTTGTGCCCGCGTCCTCGCGGGTCACTTGTGCCCGCCACACTTTGGAAGGCGCGAAACAACGTTATTATCAACCCCTGCCCCCCCCACCCCCCCACCCCATCAAGCCCCAGCCGCGCCGTGGATGTGGTCGCGCTGGACTGCTCGAAGAAGCAACGTTGTTATCAACCCCCCCCACCTCCGCCCCCCGCCCAGCCCCCACCCGCACCGAGACCCAAGCCCCACCCGGGCCGTGTTACTGGATGCGGTCGTGGTGCTGGACCACGCGAAACACCGTTGTTATCAACCCCCCCACCCCCCCAACCCCCCAAACCCCCCCACCCCCCGGCCCCCCCATCAAGCCCCAGCCGTGCCATGTGGGCGCAAGTGACCGATGACGTGGGCGCAGGTGACCCGAAATGACGTGGGCACAAGTGACCCGGATCACGTGGGCACAAGTGACGGGGATGCCCGCACCACCAAAAGCTTGGGAGCTGCACATTCCGAGGCAATGATGGATCAGGAGGTCATACCTCGTGTTGCAGAGATCTCAGTGGCATGATGGGCATAGGCACGGGGCAGATCGGCGGCACCCGGCACCAGCACACGCCAATGGTGTGCTCTGCTGTGCTACTCCGAGCACATCGCAGATGCTGAGGTTAGCCAGCTGTCCGAGATTGTTTTCGTCCAGTCTGCCTGGGGCTGAGGAGCAACGCACTATTTACAGCTTCCCTAGGCGATTTCTCAATATGCGCTCCGTCGTCAAGTTTCACATACTGAAGCCCCTGAGAGCAGAGGGTCAGTGCCTTTCTGCAATCCCGGTGACCTTAGCAAAATAGTCAATACACGTCTTACACTTCAATTCAAAACATGCGCCAGCCTCGGTCAACATTTTCATCAACACGGTTTGAGTTTTGTCGCTGTGTGTCGTGCCTCGGCAGAACAGACAGCCTCCTAGAGAGCAAACCTTAAACTCTGAGCCCCAACATGTCATGGCTGAGGTTGAGACTCCAGCTCTGGCGATCGTGATGCCGCTGATTGTACGCGGTCTGAAAGACAGGGATGAGAGGCCAGTGCGCGAGGGATATAGCAAGCAGGAGGATCGATAATGACCACTTGCAGCCGCATGATTCCTACGATCCTTCAGGGTTCTGACAATCCGTTTCGTGCAGTTCTCTCTCGATCGCCATGTCAAAGAATCCAGAACTGAGCTGAGAAGGACAAAGCGCCGTGCCCTTGTGATTGCGGACAACATGTGCAAGCTCGTGCCGGATGTCACCGAGATCCAGCCATTCCTCCCGTCGTCCGAGCCTTGCAACAAGGAGCCCAAGCCTGCCCGCAAAATCTAGTTGCTGGAGAATTTCAATCATGAACGTTCCGACCCCCCCCCCCCACCTCCCCATTCGAGAGGTTTCATATTGGGTGGAGAGGGGAGTGGGGCTGATGCTATCGCGAACTCGAGGCTGATCCCCCTGGTGGAGAAGGCAACACACAACATCTCCGACCCAGAGGCCGCCGTTAGGGCGCAGAGTTTGGGGGCTTGTGGTTATACAGCCCTTTGCTCTAGAAGGTTGCGCAGAGAGAGAGAGAGAGAGAGAGAGAGATAGCATTGCCCGCGAAAACCGTAAAGGGGACAACCAACGAACCAGTGGACATTGCGCGCCCCTCGGGGCGGCCTCCTCTTTCGGGGGGGGCGCCATGCGTGCAGAGAGAGAGAGAGAGAGATAGCATTGCACGTTTTTGCCAACCCTCTTCATCAAACTAGGGGACGTCCTCGAGTGTGTTCGTGTCCTTTGCAGTAACACACTGGGGGGAACACCCCGCCACGGGGGCAACGAACTCGGGTGCGCTCGCGCGCGGGGAGTTCGCCGGGGCTCCTTCATACCCAGCAGAAGAAGAAGAGTCTGTGTGTGTTTCTTCTTGTCGTCGTCGACGGTCTGCTAAAGCTGCATCGTTTTGTGAGGATCACGTGGCTGGGCAAGGGGTTTTCAAGATTTGGCAGCGACAAAGTACTGCACTGGTCACTTCTCTCCAAATTATTGTCCTTGTAAGGCGGCCCCGAATATCTAGGGTACTGAAAAGGGGCCATCGTTTTGAGAACTCAATGCGACCGTGAGCAGGTGCGAAATGTTGCAAGCCGGTGCTACCGAACCTTGCAAACTGCAGAGAAGGCTTGAGTTGCTTTGTGAGTTTCCTTGGTTTAGGGTTTAGGGTTTAAGGTTTGGGGTGTAGGGTTTGGGGGTCAGGCAGACCGTCGTCGCTTCATCAGCAAGACCGCAGCATGGACCCAAGACACGGGCTTCTCGCATCGCCTCAAAGGTGCTGTGCAGCGAGCACGGACAATGATGCACAGATATGCACAGAGGTTCTGAACCTCCTGCAAGAGAAGATCCCAGAGGAAAAAACACAGCTTGCGCGGTGCACAGATGCGGGTTTCGAAGCCTTGGTACATTTTTGTACAAGTCGTGAGTGCAGGAAGGGTTAAGACGAGCATGACTTGTCATCGTTTGTGGAGGATGCTTATTCGACTTCGAGTAGCTGAACTCTTCATTGAGAACATGCACATGACGCTTTAAAGGTCAGCGAACTGGTTGCGGATTATGTGGCTTCGCTGTGCACCTGCATCAGCGCTGCCCGGCCTGATTCAGACAACTGTCACAGCCATGAAGAAACACAACGAGAGCGCCTGTGCTTCAGGCATGTCGCAGCTTTGAGTACGCAGAGTGGTGGCAGTGTATCGCGCACCGAACTTAAGTCTTGAATCACCTATTGAGCTTGCAGCGGCTGCTCTCGCTGCTTATCCAGTCCAAGATCCACATAGGCTGTCACCATGTGTACGGCTCAGGCCGTACCTCTCGCCATCGATTCTGTCAGTCGAGGACTGCGAGGATCTGGTGCTGAGGCCTTACTTGAGCTGCTTTTCCGTGGTCAGCCGGCACAGCTCACGTTCTAGGGCCTCTGTCAGCTGCAGAACTATGGAATCGTCCTGCAAGATCTCGTCGCCAGTGCCGGCGAGCTCAGGCCAGACCTCCTGGAAAGCTGCTACGACGCAGCAGAGGGCGATGATGCTTGGCCCCTGGATTGTCATGGCTGACCTGTTTGCCGGGACGCGGTGCGAGCGGGCCGAGCGCGTCATGTGTTCCTGGATTTAGGTTGAAGACCTTGACGAAGAAGGCATCTTCGAGGAGCAAAGCCCTTGTTTTTGGGTCAGCATCTCCAAGAATCCCGCAGAGGCGAAGACTTGTGCAACTGCGTTTTCACTCTGGGCTACGGTGTCCCTGACTTAACCCGTGCTTTGGTGTGGCTTTTGAATGGGCACGCTTTCACTTGCTCCGTCAGTTTGATGGCCCCGCAAGGCTCTCACACTTCTGAACAATACCAGGCCCTGTGACGCTCTTCCATCTGAAGACCTCACGGGACAACTTTCCTGCTGTCCATGTGACTACAACACCAATGCCCAACCCTGCCAGGCTGCACCTCAAGCGTGGGAAGTGCTATGGGCTCTGTGGTCTGCTGCCAAGCGCACAGAGGGTCTGCAGTCTTGTGCCGTCTTCGTCCTTATGTCAGCCCCCAATCAGATTGCTCGAGGCTTTGCTACTGGCCTCGTATCAATGAGCATGTCGACATTGTGATGCTTACACATATCGAGTTCCTATGCACGAAAAACCGTCAAGTTTTAGGTTTTTGTGCTGTAAATGCCTCCGCCCCGACTCCAACCCTTCACTTAGGTCCAAACGACTGTGGAAAGAGCACCCTTTTGCGAGCCATCAACAACGAGCAGGCGGGGCTTGCCACGGAGGTGCTGTACCACCACAAGCTGTAGTAACTCTAATAACTCTAAGTACTTATAAGAGGTTTTGAGGGCTTTTTGAGTTAGCCCTAAATTCCCTAAACCCTAAATCTGTTTGCTGAAGGTTATTCCCTTGGCTCGTTCAAAGGCTTGAATTCCCTGAAACCCAGAGCTCCCGCCCATCCTGCGCAAACCGAAGGTGGTATGCGGGGATTCCCCAAAAAAGGGGTGCCCTTCTTTGGGGGTTCCTAAGTATGGATTACATATTGTTGTTGGGGGTTTAGGGTTTGCAGGGGTTCAGGCAACCCCACTTCATTCTGTTTAAAAGCATGGGGAAAGGCAGTCTATTGTTCTAATGGTCGTCTTGAGCCTGATCTAGCTGACTCGACCCTTGGTCTAGTTTGAGGTGGATGGCTTTCCGCCAAAGAGCGAGCTCGTGACAGCATTCGTGGAGCACGGTATCGGTGAGAAAGAGCCGGAGTGCGAGCGCAACTCCTAGATTGATCGGGTGCATAAACGATATCTGAAGTTGGCAGATGTTGGCAGTTTGCAGCCATTCAGGTGGACGCCGCTGGAGTATATCTTCTCTGACGAAACCATTCAAGCGATGGGGGTGACGAGACTTGCCCGGTGAAGCAGTCTTTGTCTGCATTAGTCCTGGTGGCTTGTTGTGAGTATACATGTATATCGGTAGACAGAGATGTAGTGTGTATGTACGTAGGATCGGCGTGCTCGCGGGCATTCAAGTTGCTCAAGGCTGTTACTTTGCGTCACACCAGCTGGCAAACTCAGTCGTGGAGGGGTTTGCTAGAAGCTGTAGTCGCAACCCAGTAGCAACCCACAGTTAAGGGCTTTTTTCGTGCGAAGAATGGTGGGTCTATATTTAGGGAGCTCTTCTGCTTCTTGTTTCAAGAGTTCAAGTTGTTCAAGGCTTGCAGCCCTCTAAACGCTAAACCCTGTATAAACCCTTTCGAAACCGCGCAAATTTGAAATTTTGCAAGCCCGGCTTTTCAAGATTCCTTCAGCCCCCCCTCCCCCCCGGACAACCAAGAAGCCCTTGAAATCTTGAAACCAGTTTTTTTTCAATATTTCAATTTTTTCCAAGTTGTCAGTCCCTTGAAAACCTTCCAAGAATTGAAAACCTGAAAACGCCCGGCTGTTATGTTTTCAAAGGTTTCATATTCCCAACACTTTCAAGGATTCCACGGGTTCAGAAGTCCCCAACGGACCGAGAATTCCGGAACCTGAAACGTGCTGTGCTAGCCTCGTATCAATTCCACTGGCACTCGGCCGTATACGGAACACTAACGCTGTAAAACCCAATGGCTTATACAACCCTGTTCGACAAACAGCAACTTCAGAAGAGCGCGCTTTCAACCCCCTGAGCCCTAAGGCCCTATGCGCTTCCACCTAAACCCTAAGCCCTAACCCAAATGAACCCAACATTTTTTTGATGAAACCTAGAACCCCCTCCCCAATAAACCCTAATAAACCCGAATGAGCCCTAATAAGGCCTAACAACCCAAACGAAGCCTGGTAAATACACTCGATTGCACGATCTCAGTCAGAGCAAGCTCAGGAAGAAGAAGGCCTGGCACTTAGTACATGGTGACCTCCTTGCCTGGTAGCTGGCTCTTCTCACAGCATCGCACGTGCGATAAGCAGCTGCGAGGAATTGTAGGTCAAGGTGTTTGCATCAGAGCGCTGCTGCTTTTTTGTGAAGTTTACAAGACCCCAGTTTCTCGGATCTGTCTTCATGGAGTCCTGAGGTCGTCGCTGCGTTGCGCAGCATCGGATTTGATGACCAGAAGCTCAAGAGCGAGTCAGCTTCCCAGCACTTCGAAAGCCATCGAAAGCCCCTTCAGGCTCTGAGAGCGGATGGGTTCAGCCGGTTCAGAATGTTGCAGGGTTGGTCATCTATCTGGTGGATGGAAGATGAAGTGCTGCCCTCATCATTGCGATTGAACGACTATTGACTGCGCTATGCGCATACCTGGCATGCGCAGTCCACGCAAAACGTGTCATCATCTCGTTGTTCTGAGGCTTGGACTTGTCAGAGCCATGCTGATGTGTGCGGACATCTTGCTGCTAGATGAACCGACAGGACTGCGCTAGCCATCAAGCAAGATGCAGCATGTGGCAGCATCAGCTCCCTTACACTCAGCACTCCACAAGATAATGCAGGGATCTCAAAGGTCTCTGGACTCCTGTGGTTAAACGGGATGAAGTCCAAATAACATACCTGTACTTTTCTGCTTCTGACTCCAGATCTGACCGTCCTGAAGGACACTTGGACGTTGCAAACGTGTCGTGGTTGGGAGACTACTTGCGACCTGGCTCCTGCTGGGCAATTTTGCATGTTAGCAGCTATAACTTGTTCGGTGTGGCTTCATTGTGTGATTGTGACGCCCAGGCTCAGCCTCAGCCGAGATAGCAGCCGGCCGGTGACGACAATCGTGGTGTCGCACGACACCTCCTTCCTGGACAAGGTTTGCACACACGTCATCAATGTGAAGCAGAGGAAGCCTTTGCCCTAACATAAGCTCTGCAGCTGCCAAGTTGAAGATTGAAGGCAATTGTCCTCAGGTTGAAGACATACAAGGGCAACATCACCGACTTCGTGCGACGATGCCCTGAAGCCAAGCTGCGCGCTCAGAGTAAAGTAGAATGCTGGGCAGCGCAATGTTGAATGACCTGTGTCACTGAGCTACACATGCTACACACAAGATGCAGCTACTGCTAGTGGAAAGGCCACGTCACCTTGCAACAGCTAGCCGAGCTGGTCTAGTGAAAGACACCAATTCGACGGTGTTCCCTGCTGGTAGGTCGTACTTGAGCCTGACGAACGACAAGCAGCGCTTCATCTTGCCTGAGCCAGGAATGCTGGAGGCAAGATCGCACAGCGGTTGCTTTTGTTCAGCACAAGCACCATCAATCGAGTTGATCAGCGGCAGGGAGTGAAGTCCAAGGGCAAGAAGCTTCTTAAAATGCACAATGCGCGGCGCTTGGTTGACAACTGCGCTCCTTCCCAGTCGGTGCAAGCAACACTTGGATCCTTGACCATTGTGGAGTCTAAGGTAACATACACATATCCTGGCAACCAGACGCGCCTTTCTTGGTTTCAGATGCCAGTGCCAGTGGGCGAGGTTAGGACACCGTCCAAAGCATGTCCAAAATGTCAGGCCGACCCTCTTCAACGTGAGCATCGAGGTGTCTCTTCTCAGTGCCTGCCTTAGACTCCGCAGATCCGTTGAGTGTATTGAACGTGATCGCCTTAAGCCCACCACCCCCCCCCCCCCCCCTAAACATCCCTAAGCAACCCTCTTACCCCCCTGACTCCCCCTGCCCTAAGCCCCCCCTCACCCGAGGCCGCGTGGCGGTGATTGGGCCCAACGGCGCGGGGAAGTCGACGATGATCAAGGCCTGTCCGCTTGTCGAGCGGCTGTCGACAACGGGTGATGTACCCTTAAAAGGCTTAGTGGTTGTAGGGTTTAGGGTGTTGAAGGGTTCAGGGAGGGATGTCGAGGGGTTTCGGGTACTTTGGGTTGGGGATGTTTCCGGGTTTTTGGAGTGACTCCGGCCTCCATCTTTACGCCTTTTGAAGCGTAGACCTGCACCTGAAGCCGGCGCAAGCGCGGCATGAATGGGACAGGCCCTGGTGGGAGAGCTTCCTGTTACGGGAAAGAGCATCGTTTGGAAGCACCCGAACGCCGGTGGCTGAGCACAGTCCTTGCCAAGCAGCGCAAAGCAATGCTAAGCCAAGGTGCGAATTTCCTACGTTGCCCAGCATGCTTTCCATCATGTGGTGCGGCACCAAGACACCCATTTAATGGCTTACAAGAGGGTTGATATGTGTTGATGGACGGCCCCAGGAGCAGCACCTGGACATCACGCCCACTCAGCCTAAGGCCCAGTTGCCCATCCGACCCAGGCAGTTCGCACACGTGACGTGTTCTCAGCTGAACTGTGGAGACTGTCCGAGGTACTTGCTTTGGCGCTTTGCCGGTGGCGAAGACCGTGAAGCTCTGAACTATCGGTCAGAGGCAGGGCCACTCGCCATGGCATGAGCCATGTGTCGATCGGACAATCCAGGAAGTCAGTGGCGAGAAGCGGAAATACTGGCCCGGATCTCATAATTTGCGTGAGCCAGAACTTCCCCCCTCTCCCTCAGCATCGACTCCAACTCTCCGAACCTCCCCTTCCCCCCGGCCCCCCCTTTCGGCTTGAGGCTGAACGAAGCCGGGGTGTTGTGCAAGTGCACCAATCCCAAGGCACCGGGGAGTTTTTTGCAAGAGGCTGCCGACACGCACAGACCAGCCACAGCCAGGAGGAGGCCAAAGCAGTGGACCCTGAGTTGATCCTCGGCAGGAAGAAGCCAAGCTCTCAACTTTGCCCACAAATTGCCCCCATCAAAAAGCCCACCCATGCGCAGCCCGAGTAGCTGCCCACAGGTCGAAGTCAAAGGCAAACTCTGGCGATGAGAAGTACGAGTACTCAGCGCTCGCCTCGGCTCACGTTTTGCGCAAGCAGCCCTGGGAGAGAAATCATATTTTGAAATGACTGGTTAGCAATAATCGTCGTCGTCGTCGTCGTCGTCGTCGTCGTCGTAGTACTAGTAGTAGTAGTAGTAGTAGTAGTAGTAGTAGTAGTAGTAGTAGTAGTAGTAGTAGTAGTAGTAGTAGTAGTAGTAGTAGTAGTAGTAGTAGTAGTAGTAGTAGTAGTAGTAGTAGTAGTAGTAGTCGTCGTCGTCGTCGTCGTCGTCGTAGTAGTAGTAGTATAGTAGTAGTAGTAGTAGTAGTAGTAGTAGTAGTAGTAGTAGTAGTAGTAGTAGTAGTAGTAGTAGTAGTAGTAGTAGTAGTAGTAGTAGTAGTAGTAGTAGTAGTAGTAGTAGTAGTAGTAGTAGTAGTAGTAGTAGTAGCGGTAGCGGTAGCGGTAGCGGTAGCGGTAGCGGTAGTGGTAGTGGTAGTGGTAGTGGTAGTCGTAGTCGTCGTCGTCGTCGTCGTCGTCGTCGTAGTAGTAGTAGTAGTAGTAGTAGTAGTAGTAGTAGTAGTAGTAGTAGTAGTAGTAGTAGTAGTAGTAGTAGTAGTAGTAGTAGTAGTAGTAGTAGTAGTAGTAGTAGTAGTAGTAGTAGTAGTAGTAGTAGTAGTAGTAGTAGTAGTAGTAGTAGTAGTAGTAGTAGTAGTAGTAGTAGTAGTAATAATAACAATACTGGTCGTCGGGTCAAGTAGTCTCAAGTGGCCGCGTGCGCTCGCGAAGTGCCCTTGTGGCTTCGAAGGTCAAGTGGCACGGCTTCGGCAGCGAAAGCATCATGTGGGCGCGCCTGCCACGGTACGATGAACAGCCCGTGTGCGTTCTTCAAGCCAAGTGCCAGGTCCCTCGCGATATCTTGTTGGAGATGGGGCACTTGCGTCTGATACAGCGCGAGGTGGCAGTCGTGGTTGCCAAGATTGCAGGGTCTTGTGTAGGGACGTGCTGAGATTCCCAGATTATTCGCTACCTAACGGAGGGTGTGTGCGTGTGTGGAACCCTGATTCTAAGCGAAGGGTTCTGGGAATGCTCTCTTCTCTTCAGCATGTGCGAGAACTTGTCCGCAAAGGGGACGGGAGCTGATTTGCCTATCCTGTCCAACGAAGCTACAGCAAATCAGTGGATGCATTCGGGGACGCTCGAATATGTACTTGCAGGCCGCCCGAAGTACCCAAAGCTGTTGGGTCGTTCCTCTGCCATTTTTTGATGAGCAGCAGCTTTCAGGAATGTCGTATGCATTTGTTGCATGTTGTTTCAGGCGCATGAAGGTGCATAGATTTTCTCCCTCTCTAAGATCTTCGCCTGTCGGTTCATGGAACGCCTATGGAGCACCCAAAGACTCCCCGTGTGTGTGTGTGTGTGTGTGTGTCTGTGTCTCTCTCTCTCTCTCTTCTAGCAGGCCCTCTCCGTCTCTGGTGCTCCGGTCCCTTCTCCCTTCCTCCAGTTAATCGCAACAACTACCACAGCCACTGCAATTACTACAAAAGCAGCAACAAGATCCACAACAGTTGCTGCTGGGGCATTGGGCTTCTGTATGAATCCCACAATGGACAAATGTGGCCAGGATGAGAGGCAAGCAGCAGCGCACGGCCTTGTCTCGCGGCCTCTGACACAGCCGCAGGCGCGGTCAGGTTATAGCTAATCCATCTAAGCTGCACGAGAACTCGGGAGTGATCGGTGCATTGGGACATAGTCAACATGGGAGCTGGGTGCTTGAAGGTAGAAGAGCACTTGGCTGGGTTTGGCCTGGACTCGAACCTGGCATCCCACACAAGGACAGTGATGTTGTAGAGGCAGCGGCGAGGGGCCATCGTCTAGAAATGACTGTGAGGCTGGGGATCCTGTCTGGCGGCCAGAAGGTGAAGGTCGTTCTGGGAGCAGCCATGTGGTTCCTGGCCTCACTGCGCATTGGGACCACTAGGGGCTTAGGGGCCATCAGGATGCTGTCCGTCTTTAGTGACTCTAGTGAAGGTTATCCCCCCACATCTTGATCCTGGACGAGCGTGAGCCCGAGGTAGCTAGAGCAAAGTTCGCGGGCTGGGCACAGTGGCCCCGCAGAACAGTTTAGCTTCCCTGGTCTTCATCATTATGCGAGCTACAGAATGGATTTACCGGCAACGCAAAGGCCGACGAACTATCTTGACCGCGACTCTCTGGGAGCCCTTGCTGCAGGCGAAGAGAGCAGCAGCGAGCGCAACCGATGTGCAAGTTGTTGTGGCTCCTGGCAGACTATGGCTGACTTTGGCAGGCCTCAAGGAGTTTGGAGGTGGCGTGGCGGTCTTAGCCCACGAGAGAAGTTCATGACCTCAGCCCCAAGTCTGCTGTGGAGATGTCCTCAGTTTGACTCCAGGTCATCGTCATTTCCCACAACCGCGAGTGAGACGCCCAGCAGTGGCAACTCCCCCTCTGCATCAATCACAGCCAGTGACTGCGCGGCTTGAATATGTTTGAACCCATCTTCTAGTTCCCTTGATTCATAACAGTCAGACACGACAACAGTTAACAGTTAATCTATACTAGGTTAGTGTTTGTTTTTGCCCACCTCTCCAGACATTGACAGGCATTTCACCAGCAATGGAAAGATACCAGCAGGATGCTGAAGATGCTGCGTTTGAACTTCAACATACTTCAACAATCCCTGTTTTTCGTAGTGCTACAGATGCTGTGCGTTTGAACTTCAACAAAGTTTTTCGTAGTGATCGTGCGAGTGGGCCAGTTCAACACCTGTGAGAAGGGCACGAAAGCGCTGCCAGGTTCTGCCATGCAGTTTGCGACGAGCGGTGGCTCATGGATGCCATCGGCTTGGCAGTGACTTCTGATGTGCAGCACCCCGCAGCCCCCTTACCCGGCGAAGGCTGGACGCCTCACCAGAGAAGGGCAGCTCAGCAAAGCCGATGTGGCGCCAGCGGCCCAGTGGGTTTCGCGTTGTCGATCAATCGGTTCATGGATGAGCTTGGATTTCTGCAGGCTGGAGGGCAAGACTCTAGCGGACGAGCAGCCTGCCTGCATCTGCGAACACAAGAAAAATCGACCCAGGGCTGATGCCGGATGTGGATGGAGACAATGCTGTTGTGGAGGTACACAGATGAGTTCGGCAACGTGCACAAGATCAAAAAGCAGAACCACACCGAGAAGGAGAGACAGCTGTGCTTTGAAACAAGATGCAAATGCTCTGGTGCAAAATCTACAGGAGCTGAAGAAGATCAAGCGCCAGAAGGAGCTGGCGCGCAAGCGCGGCGATGTGCCTTCGCCGCAACTTGCTGAGTGCCGCGCCGCTACCTGTAGCATTCACGATGCAGAAGCTTTAGCCAGAGGTGTTCATTGAAGATGAAGATGAGTGGCCGGCAGCCCTGCTTTTGCCATGCCCGCTGTCTGATTTGCGCAACCCCTTGGCATGAGCTTGCGGCTGAGGTTGTCATGCAATCATGTCATGTCCCCAAAAAAGGAAAGGGGCAAAGACAAAGGCAAAGACGGCAAAGGGGTGGCCTTGCAAACGTGAGGTGGGAGAAGCTTCAAGAAGATGTCTCAAAACCTGAGGAGCCGGGACCTCACAGGACTCCATGACTCCATGGCTCCATGACTCCATGACTCGCTGGGCTCCATTTCCTGGCCTTGGCGCATCCCGTAAGGCCTGCATCCGGGCACGGCAAGGAGGCAGAGAGCTGATCTTGCCAGAAGAGCCTCAGAATCAGAACTGCCTCTCCCTTCGAAAGCTAAGCTACAGGCTTGCAGCGCACAGCCGCACAGCTGTCTGATTTTGACGGGTAGCATACAGTGCAGTACAACATAGTACAACTATACCATACTAAACCTCTTGCTGAAGATGCTGCTGCCTGTAGAAGGTAGAGGGCCTCTGAACCATGGTGACAGCCAGAAGCCAAGGGCTTCACATCGTAGGATTTTTGACCTTCTGATGGTCAGTGCTGCGGCCGATCAGCAGCATGCTCTTTTGGCGGGAGCCTTTCTTGACCGCATGCAGCGCTGCGCGCGGTCGTTTTCCACTTATTTTGCGACGTTGCATGCGGGTGTCGGTCGGTTTTGCCGACTCCGGACTCTCCGAAGCTGCGTTCGAACAATTTTGCTCTGAGGAGTGTCATAGCCACGCGCAGAAGACTCTACCGTGAGCACCACGTCGCAGACAATGGCACACAGATGTCGCGCTCGCCGAAGTTGTTTCATCTCTTTGTTTCATTGAAGCAGAAGCCAGTCTCCAGATGCTGGAGTTCAGTGCGTTGACGTTTCTTCTGCGGCGCAGAAGTTGTCTGGTGTGGATCCGCTTGCAAAGCCTCGATGCGCTGCGCAGCCACCAAGGCAGTAGCAGAACAGAAATAGCAGTGAATAAGGACCCAGGCTAGCCGGCTAGGCAAGCCACAAAACAGGTGGCATTGCGCAACAGCTCTGTAAAAGGTGTCGATGTTGAGGCATGGCTGCCTGTAGGACGACGTTATTTCCTCTGCCTCAGTAGCAAGCCATGATCAGACTCCGGCTTTCTTCGCGCATGACGTTTGCATGTGCGGCCTAAGCACAGCCCTGAGATCTGCTCCCAGGGCAGTGTCGCACACTCGTTTGCAAGGTCGTCACAATGCCTACAATCCAAAAACTCGCAGTACGCCCGTTCACCTGTAGCGACCTGCAGGCCTATGCGCCGTCTCTGGGTTCCGCACCCTCAGCTGGTCCTGAGCTTAGGCTGAGGCTCTTCTTGCGCAGGTCATCTTCCCCGCACCCTGCGCCAAGATCCAGTCAATGCAGTGCCACAGAGTGAGGACTTCATCCCCATGTGAAGTCAGTAGGCTTTGTCACGCGGGCATCCCGTATACTGTCACCAACAGCCTACACTCATCAAAACGTTAATACGAACCAGATCGAATTGCACTATCAAGTTTTGCATTACGTTGCAGAAGTCTGCAGTTGCATACGATCTCGCCCGGCCCAACAGATGCCAGCGAACCATGCTATCACTGACAGCCGCCATCAGCAATGTCTATGGGAGGCGTGCTTGACACTGATTCAGGTGTGGGCCCCCTGCTGGCTTCACGATATCATTGATGGCATTGCTACGCCTGACACTCGATTTGCTGTTCATGTGGAAATTCCTTTGGTCAAAGCCAGGCTGCCAACAGACTCAGGTTTGCCACCGAAGATGGTGAGGCGGCAGGGACCATGATTTCAGAGTCAGGGACAAGACCCTTTGGGTCTGATTCGGGCAACCCAGAGCCTTCTCTTTTCCTATCCCTCTTTCTGCAGGCAGATTAGGTGTGTGTGTGTGTGTGCACGTTGGCTGCCCCAAGTGAGTGTCTTCGAAGCTATGCTTACGCGACAGTTTGCCTGACATCGCCATGAGTTGAAACCTGAGCAGAAAGACAGTTTTGTGGTGGGCTTCTAGGGAGACAAGATTTGCGCGACTCGCATGGACCAACGCCTCCAGCTTGCCGGTCTCGCGCTTTCTTTTGGCCATAGCTACCCTTGAAGAGTCGACAGGGAGGATTATCCGAAAGGGCCTCGTGGACGCATGATTGTATCCAATTGCCCGGCAGAGGGCAGCAGAAGAGGCTAGAGAACTACGGAAAGACAGAGTGAATTTGCGATGTTTGTTCTGTTCATTGTTGCCAGTCCTTGGGTCTTCTGAAGGCCTTCGAAGTCGGGACACAGGGCATCGAGGATCTGGAAGAAGTGCAGCCCCAGCAGGCGCTTTGTGTGCGGAACTCGCAAACGGTTTGTGTCATTTTCTGTCCCAGCCGATAAATAAGCAAAGGCTTAGGAGCCAAAGTCAGTGGAATCCTGTTACGCCCCCTCATTGTCTCTGAGCCAGTTCGCTGTTTCGGCTGCTAGATGACCAGGTGGTCGGTGTTGACAATGTCTGCCTGCTGGACACGGTAACGAAAGCTGCGTTGCTGCAGACTGTGCGGGCCAGCGGCTGATGTCCCATGCGTGCAGCCTGCGTGGAATCGGTACCGCGCTGCCGACAGGTGGTGCATCTAGAGTGAACTGCGTGTGGCGGCTGCTAGGCGCGGTTCAAGAAGCAAACCATCCACACGTGGGTCTCGCGAATCCTCCTGGCGGTCAATCCATTTCAGGTGCCTTCGTGGACTTGCTTTGGCTACAGCTAAGTTGCCCACAGCTCCAACAGCTTCGCATTGTACAGGCTTTGCCGCTGTACTCCTCCGAGATGCTTGACAAGTACAGGCTTGTGGAGTCAGAGCGGCAACGCAGAAGACATGTTGCAAGAAATCTCGAATCTGAGACGGCTTTCGACTCTCGACTAGGTACGCTTCGGAACCACAGGCATGGAGCACAGCTGAGAGCAAGTGCCAACAACAGGATCCCAAAAGGGCGAGCGCCGAGCAACAAGCGTGTTTAGGCCCAGTGTTGTGCATGCCAGTCCAGTCTTCAGCCGCACGCGGCTTGTGCGTTCCAGCGGTGTCAGTGCAACGCCGGAACAATGGCAGAGGTCTTGCCGCCACACGTCTTCTGCATCGCAGCAGATGCCCTGCTCAACCCCCAGAGTTGATGAACCGAGCGGCAGCCCAGTTCGGAGCTTCAAGCAGAGGAAGGCGCAGAAAGTTTTGGAACGCTTTGCCGAACCATGTCAACGCAGATGTGATGACAAACACAAGCTGCGGTTGCAGCCGCAGTACCAGGTCCAACTTGCAGATCTCTCGCAAGGACCAGGCAGGCTTTGCCATCCAGTTGCTTTTAAAAGTTCCTTGATTAGCTCTGACGCATGTAGAAACCTGACACAGGCGATTGTCATCAATGGGGAGTGCTGACCTCGGTGCATTCTGTGAGAAATTGTGAGAATGTGCATGAAGGGTAAAGTCGGGTAAAGAACAGGTGGAACAGGTCAAGCCCTGCACATTCGGAAGGGCACATGGGCTCACGGGACAGGCGGGAGGTCCATAGGCCCACGGCATAGAGGATGTCAAGGCAAGGAGCTGAGGCGCTTGGATGGCACCAGAGATCGCGACCCGTAGGTCCATGGGGTCTCTCTACAGCCCTGTCAGACATTGGGAGCTAAGACCAAAGCTATGGGGGTCATTGCGGTTGTCGTTGCCAGCTTGTACAGGGGAACGAGAGAAGCTTGGCATTCCGTAGACTTAGGAGGAACACCAGAGAGAGACTATGTGTAATGCAGCTCAAGCTCAATTCGTCCCCAGGTCCGGTGCAGGCAAAACAGAGTCCGCCAAGCTGGTCATGTCCTATGTGGCCGAGGCAGGAAGCACTCTTGCTGTGGATTTCTCCACCGATGCGCACAAAGCACCGCGGGAAGGCAACGAAATCTTCCGAGACACAGCCAGGCGCACAGAAGTTTGGGCTTGTCTCGTGTCGTCACGGTCTAAGATGCCTGTTTTCGAACAGGAACAACACAATGTGCAGTCAATACAGCTAGAGCTGGGGCTGCATCGTTTTTTTTTCGTTGTTTTCTGAAGCGGCTTTTAAGGAAACAATCCCAAGGCTTCGAGGAGAAGGCTGGAGCCGAAATTGATCAGAATCACGTGCGGCCGGTGCATCCTTTGGATTGAAGTGGCTTGCAAAACCGGGGGGGAGGTTCTACGAACCAACCCAGTGATGGAAGCTTTCGGGAACGTGCCAGCCCGGGTGTTGTCCGCTTGCAACAGTTCCTGTCGCTGTCGCTGCGCCCACTTGCATCGTAGGCGACGATTTCGCATGTGTGTATGCAGTGTCCAGGGGTTCTTTAACATGACCAAAACCTATACCTAACCAAAGGTTTCCATGGGACAGGCCTCCCTTGGGAAAGTACTCTTCTTTCATCAGCGGAATGGCTTTCGTTTTCAGCTACCTGTAGCGAAAAGACATATAAAAAAGGCCAAACAGCATAAGGAAGGCAGCATGCCCAAAACTGCTTTCATCAGCGGAATGGCTTTCGTTTTCAGCTACCTGTAGCGAAAAGACATATAAAAAAGGCCAAACAGCATAAGGAAGGCAGCATGCCCAAAACTGCACCCCAGACTTTGCGCGAGAAAGTAGAATGTCTGCCTTTCGTCCGTAGCACCCCCGGTGCGGAATCCGCAAGTGTGAGCGTTGTGCTGAGGCAATGACGGTGCGGAACAACAACTCCTCCAGGCATAACGCGATTCTCGAGCTGTGCAGAGCGTGCCACGTCGTCCTGGACAGGTTTGTGAAATGGTTGAACTTTCAGCTTGAGGACGACCGGCTCATTGGGCGGAAGACCCAGATGTAGAATGATCACCGGGCTTGAGGCGGATCTTATGCAGTTGTGTTCAGGTGTGAGATACAGCAGTACCTCTTGGAGGCACAGTGTTGGGCACCTGTGACAGTTTTGGTGGTTCCCTCGCAAGCTTTGTGCTCGGCAGGGGACCAGGGTGTGCAGCGTCGCAAAGGGCGAACGCACCTACCACGTTTTCTTCCAGATGCTGCAGGCTAGGTGCCAGCTTGCGGGCACTGTTTTCATCGGTCTCATTGCGGTGCACAGGCCCGGCGTCTGCCTGGCCCTTATTGGCCCCCTCGCTCCACGTCGATCCGCATTGTGATGACGCATTGTGATGATGCAAGTGGGCGTCATACAATGCCTACTTGCGCGTGCGTGTGCAGACTCACCAGAGCTGTCTGAGCTGTCCCAGGCCATTGCTGGAGAAATTGGAGTTGGAGGACCCCAGCTGCAGGAGACCCAGCAGCAGGGAGCTCCCAGCACCGGATTCCAAAACAGAGATCAATAGAGGCTACCAGTACACCAAAGCCGGCGAGTTTGCTGCGAGCTCAGGCTACAGGGAGCGGTTACCAGGTCCTCGATTGCCCTTTTTTGGGGGGGAGTATGAGAGAAGCACTTCGCCGAGGCAGTTCCGGGCATGGACGATGTCCTTGGCTTCGAGGAGCTCCGCGAGGCGCGCGAACCACCATGTTATGCCGCTATGCCATGCTCTTTTTTCTGATGCTTTGGTTTGAAGCCGCTGGCTTCGCCACGATTTCCTGAGATCTGAGACAAAGGATGTGGGAAGGCTTCATGAACTGTCAGCATCTGTCGGAGCATTCGATGCAGGCCTTTGCTCCATTGGGCATTGACGACGCCATGCAGGCAGCATCAGGCGGCAGTTTGGGTAGAGTGTTGCGTGAGAGCGACATGAGGTCCAGATCTTCCAAGTCCTTGCTGCGGCTTGGGCCCTTGGGGCCCTTGATGTGGGTCAGGGGAGACGGTGACGGTATGTGGCCGTCTGCAACAGCAACCGCAGTCCAAGGTTTTGAACTTGGGCAACTGCGCCGGCCCCACCGCTGAGACAGTCTTAGGAGCCAGTTTGCCAATCGAAGCTTCGGAGGCACCTTCCGAGCCGAGCGCGAAGACAGGCCGGGTACCCACATTGCACCGTAGCAGAGGGGTCCTGACACGCTGGTGACCTTCGAGGCTGGAGGTGCTCGATGAAGGCCCTGTCCAACGAGCGGCCAAGCTCTTGAGCCTGCCGGTGGAGGCATGAGGGATGGCTGCGACATGGTGCCAAACAATCTCGATCGTTTTTGTGAGGATCTGAAGAAGTGCATGCTCGTTCGCAAGATTGCAATAGGCCTGCACGCGCTGGGATTTCTGAACTTTTTTTTGCCGGACAGTTGGAAAGTTGGCAAGAGCAGCCTTGATGCCAGGGCGCGACATCGTGGAGTCCCCTCAGCGAGAAGACCAGGACAGCCCTTGTTCATCGCATACTACGGCATCGAAGGAAGCAGGCTAAACAAGCTCTAGAGTGAGAAGTCCAGATGTGCACCGATGCAAGCAAAGTCTCTTACATGCACCTGAGGCGATTGCAAGCCGTGACAGCTTGAGCAGCTTGGCGTTGATGAATGCTGCGGAAATGCTACAGTCTGTGCATGTCGTTGTGAGCTGACAGACGAAGTCTCTTGCGGCCAAGGCAAATGCCTCTACATGCAGCTGTTTGCTTGGGCAGTGGACACCCTCAACCGTACGCTGCATGTCGGAAGCCAAGAATCTTTCTTTCTCTCTCTCTGTCTCTCTCCTCACTGACTCGTGCTCTCACTCACGCTCCATTCCTCCGTGCTCCAGTCGCCCTCGCTCCATCCTGAAGACCCCCTCTATCTACTTGCCTCCGTGTCCCTACGAAATGTTGGCAAACCAAAGGTCAATGACGCGCCAGGGACCACCTGCTCCGTTATGTGCAGCAGCGAGTGTAGCCGATTAAGTTATTTGAAGGTATTTTGTCGACTTTTCGTGACTCGTTGTCAGACATGGCATAGGACGCCTGACAAGAAGCGACAGTACCTGGGTATCCTTGACATCGCCGCGTCCTGAGGGGGCTTCCAGATATTGCTGTAAGAAGTGAGATGCAATAATGTGTAGTTTGAACTGCTAGTGGAAGGCTTCATTGGGATGCCGCAAACCTGTCAAGCACCCACTTCATTTTGCTAGGTCCTTCCTTCCCTGAAGTGGCTGTCCGCACCTCCTCCTCATGCCTGTCTGCTCACTCCCCCCACCCCTCCCCTGCGGCCGTCTCCTAGCTCTAGCCCCATTCTGGGTTCCTGGGCAAGCTGTCGACACCGCTGCGTGCTAAATACAAAAGCTTGAAGGGATTGGAAGGGCTAGGGTACAACGAGCATCTCAATAAGTTAGAGAGAGGGAGCGCGATCCTACAGTAAGGGTTCGAGATGGTTAGACATGTCTAAGCCATCATTGTGTTCTGCTTTTTGGAATCGACGCAGCTGAGGCTGGCTTCGAATGTGCTCAGCTCAGGGACGCACCTTCGTCTGCCATCACCTGCTTACACGTGGTATTCTTGCTCCTGGAGGCTTCGACCACAACTCCCTGGAGCAACTTCTCATCAATCTGTGCAATGCGGCCTAGTCATGATTGTGCGTTCATGAAAAATCGTTAGGTGCAATGAGCACGGTTGTGCAAGCCAGGAACATCTGCAGCAGTTCTTCAACACGTTCGCAGCTGGCCAGCAAGCAAGCAAGCACAATAGATGCGCCGCCAGTTAGCCCAGCTGTAACACCTGCTGCTTAACAACGTCGAGCTGAGCAAAGGTTTTCCGGTCAGAGCTGGACGATTATGCGAAAGAAGGCGCTGGCTTCTCCAGAATGTGCACTTTATTTTGTTATTTGCAGTCATCGCAGTGTTTGCAGAACGTCACAAGATGAGTGCGGAAGATGAGAAGTATGCCATCAATGAAAGGCCTCAAGCTGGTGTGCGATGTGCAGTTCAGAGACAATGCTGACGTGCCCGCCATAGCTTTTAGCACGGCAGCGAAGACATACAGGGTGGGAGCCATGCGGAGCCATCATCATAATCATCATCATCATCATCCACCTGAAAGCGCCTCTGAAAAGTGCTGTGCGTCTTGTGAGTGAAGGTGCTTCAGCTGGTTGATGGCCGCGGGGGCTTGTTGGACATGTTGGACGAGGAGGCCAAACCACCTGCAGATGTCTTGTGGCTTCGCAATGCTTCGCAGTGGCTTAGAAGAAACCCATGACGAACAGGTCGTGATGCCGAAGGCCACGGACGAATCCTTTGTTTCCAAAGTGAAGTCAGGCAATTCTGGGGCAGTTGCAGTATGCGGAGATCATGCTGGCGCGACAGCACAAGCACTCAGCAAACATGCACCGCAGGTCACTCAAAACACCCGTGCTTCGTGCAGTCCAAGATCAACAACAGAGTCAAGTTCGGCGTGGGCAGCCCAGTTTTTGATGCAGTTGTGGCATGCACGCACGTAAGTGGCTCCTCAAGGACAATGCGACAGTACTCTTGCAGACTAAAGGTCAAGCATTTCGCAGGAGAAGCGTTTAGCTCAGCGGTCAGCGCAGCCATTGAGTTGCAACTCATCTCGTAGACCGTTGAAGCAAAGCTTGATCTCCCAGGTAACCTACAACTGCGAGGGCTTTCTGAAGAAGAATGCAGACAAACCGCCCGACGACTTTCTGCAGTTGCTGTCTTGTTCAGAGACGCTGCCTCAGATTCTTACCGTCTTGCCATCTTAGGGCCTTAGCTGAGCAACATACTCAGGCTTGACCTTTTGAAGCAGCTGGCCAGGGAGCCCGGACAAGAGGCGAGGCACTGTCATTGTCAGAATCGGCACCGACACCAGCACTACAGTAAGACCCTTCATTACCGGCATGCGTGTTGCTGGTCATCATCTTGACAAAAACGGGTTGTAGGTGCAATAGTCACCTAGAGCCAGTCGATAACGGCAACTCTGAGACCAAAGTTGGCCCCCTGACATGGGGCAATGCAGGCCAGCTCGCCGGTGTCACCAACGAAATCCAACAATCGGAAGCCCAAGTCTACGTCGTCCAAGCGGCTCGTCTTTCCCAGACGGCTGCTCGGCCGCGTTTTTCTCATTGTTAACAAGTCGGATGCTGTCCAAGGTTTCGTTCCTCCCTGCGCGTGCTGATTGGCAAGATCAGCTCATCGGATCCACACTTCATTCGGTGCATCAAGCCCAATGCTCAGAAGGCACCCCGCTCTCCGGCCACTCACTTCTGAAAGGCTCCATAACAACTCAAAGAATCAAGCGTTCTTGCGATGCAGGTGCCTGGCCTCTTTGATTCGAAGATGGTCGATCTTGCATGGCTTCACGTGCCACCTAGCCTGGCTTTTGTCAGAGGTTGTTGCAACGTGACAGAGCCAGGTGTTGGAGCAGCTGCTTTTCAGTGGAGTCTTGGAAGCAGCAGGGCCCCAAGAGCGGAAAGACATGCGGAAGCACGAGCATCCCCCCCGCCACTCTGCCCCATGGCAGGTTCACATTCGTCAGCAGGGGTATGCTTCCCGCCTGTCATACGGCGATTTCTTCAGCAGGCGTCGCTTGGAAATTGTCGCGATCGGGCTGTCTGGTTGACAATCATCAACAGCGCCTATTATGAGAAGTCATGAGTCGCGAGGTATGCTAGCCTGGGCTCCAGGGCTGCTCAGGGGAGTGCAAGCGCGACTTGGGCAAAGTTTATGTTCATCTCAGCGCGCCCGTCGAAATTCGGCGTGCGAGAGCTTTAGCTGCTCAACGCAGGTGCACGTGCGTGCCACGTGCATGAAGCTTAGTCGGCTGATGTGTGTTGGATGCCTGCCCTAGGACTTGGCTCGTCACCTCAAGGAGAAGTTGGCCTTAGACCTTGAAGTCGGGAAGAGCAAAGTGTTCATGAAGGCCACCGCTGCTTCATTGAAAACGTAGATTGAGTAGGAGTAGCCCTGTTGAGGGTCGGGCATTGCACATGTGCCGAGCCGAACTTGAGAAGCTGGCATCGGCAAGGGCGAGGGTTCTTTTCTTGTAGGGAGGGTTTGCGGTGTGCGCCGTCATGAATGTGCTGTCAAAGCTTAAGTTTGCACTGTTTTGGCGTGCTGGAGAATCAGTGTGCGATGCATCCCTGCACATGAATCCACATCTACATCGACGACTCCTGGTCCACTTTCTGCCACCGATATTGCAGGCCTCTGCGGCAAGTGTCCTGGAGAAGGAGCGTGGACTTATGCAGCGGCCTGATTCGGAGCGTGCGGGGCGTGGTGTCTCGCATGTCGTAGCACATTTGACGTGTGCGCTCCGTGTGCTCTCTCCACCTCTCCACCACAAAAAGCACGAGAGTACTGCTTGCTTCAGTAAAACTTTCGACACCGGTGCTTTTCACGAAAGAGTCTCCTTTTTTGGCGCTTGAGGCGGGCGCGGATGGCCATCCGGCTTCAAGCCCTTGTGCGAGCCAGGAGAATGGAGTGTGGTGCTGCTGCAGTCTAGGGCCGGAAGCTTGACGGTATACATGTACATCATGAATACCCTAAAGCTACTGAAATTAAATGTGCTCGAAGACTGGTAACAGCATGTGTAGATATGACTCCCACCATCTCTCTAAAGTTTACCGACTTGTAGCGTGGTAAGCTGCGTAAGTCCGGGCGGCGGGACCACGTTTGTGGGACGCCCAGGTGATTCTTGAGCAGAGTCCGACAACATAATCCAACCTTCGCAGGATCGCCAGAAGTCGATTCTCTGCAGCTCGACCGGCGATGAAGGCTCTCATGAACTGCTTGAGGCCTGGAGGTTTAGCTCCACTTGCTCAAGTCAAGTGAGACAGCTGCGCGGCTGCGCCGGCAAAGATTTTCAACACACAATAACCTCGGGCAGACTTCGGGTGGGGCTGGTTTCTGATCTATGCCCTTTGACCGGAGTTTGAGGGGAGGCGTCGCTGGAATATGCACTGCATTGCGGGATCGCACAGCAAGCGCACGTGCGACATGGCAGCTGCAAGAAAGCAGCCTCGGTCGGATGCACGCAGCGAGCTGCGAGGCGCATTGGTTGGGACGCCAGAAAGCCGGAGACGGACCAGCCACTCGGCACCTCGTGCAACCAACGGTCCTGAACAGGCACTGTAGCGCGTTTTTTTCTCAGCTTCTTCCCTTGAAGGCCGGTTCCAATATTGGGAAGACTTGGTCCGGATGTGCCTCGGCTAGCAAGAGACTCGTGTGATTTCTCAATGTGCTGTTTCCACAGCCTTCGAGCTCGGAGGTCAAGGCCTTCCTGACCGAACTGGAGCAAGCCGAAAGTGCCTTGCACACGCCTAAGACTCGAGGCCTTTCGCCTTGCTTGCTGGGTGCTTTCACTGCCGAGGCCGCACCTGCCAAGCTCAGACAGACTGCGATCCACCTCCCAGGCCGAGTTCTGCTTAGGGCGGGCTCGGAGCTGTCAACCAGCGCAGCGCAAGAGAAAGCAGACAGCATGGACAACGCACGAAGGCTGCGTTTGGCCGACTGACCAAGGACTCAATGCGCAAGGGATGTTTTGAGAGTTGGCTAGTCTCAAAGATCTCGCCGAAGCGCAGGAGCAGCAATGCTTGGAGCTACTGGAGGGTTTGGCTTGAACCTCAGCAGCGGCACTGTGCCATGCTCTTCCAGCTCGAGTGTCCGGTCTACGAGTTCAGCGCCTTTGCAAAGGCCAAGAGCACAGACTTTGTCGAGATTGAGAAAGCACTGGCAAGAGCCAGCGCCTGAGCGCTTCAAAGAAGGGTTCGAAAGCCAAGGATATTGCGATGGAGCACCAACGACAGCCGAGGCAACCTCCTTGCAGCTACCACCCACGCCTCTGACCGAGGAGCACCTTCCGCTTCGTTGCAAGGCTCCCTTCAGCTCCCTCGTAGTTTGCTCCCCTATGTGAAAAACATACATATATTTAATATATATATATATATATATCACGCATGTTCTTTACGCTTGATATTCTGTAACAAGGACGATGTGATTCATTATTGCATATATATAGCTCCTCCTGTCACGTCTCCCCCTGATCTGCGCCACTCGAGCAGTGTTGGCGGCAGGCGTTGCAACTTCAGGTTCCACTGGTGGAGGCATGGCCATTGCCAGTACTCGGCACCAAAAGTCAACATGAACAACAAACGAGACTTGAAGAGACAAAGGTAAAGATGTGCAGTTGTGCAGTTGTGGAGGCATTGCGCTCGGCCTTGGACGAGAAAAACGTGGAGTCGCTGACGCGCATCATTGACGAGGAGCGAGCTGCCATGGTCGCTCCGAGTCATCCTCAGGCGTCAAGGCACCAGCGCGTATGAACGGGAATATCCGCGAGGTCGGGAAGAAAGGCTTGAAGCTGGATCCTTCAGGAGCCTTTGTTTGCGAAAAACCTTTGGTTGTCCAGACTTTTCGGATGCAGTTTCGTTCCCCGGTGTACACTGATTTCAGCCGTGCCGAAGGGTGGCTCCCCGAGCTTGCAGTCGGCGACTTGCTCCAGCAGGTGCAGAGGGCTTTTTCGTAGCCCGAAGTCCTGATCCCAAACCCAAGGTCAAGCTCTTGAGCCGAGATGCATGTAGCAAAATTGGGGGTCCCCAAAACCCTTTAATATGCTAACTTGGAGGAACTTGTCAATGCTGGATTTTCCTGCGCACCTGTTCACCAGCAGCGAGTTACTAAATGAGGGAAGTAGTGTGGTCGAGGTAGCGAACAAGGACAAGGATAACACAAAATAATCGCGCGCCATGGCAAACATCAGTGCGTGGAAGACGCGTGTTTCCTTTGGGGTTTTTGGGCTTTTCATGCGCTCCAGAGCCCTGGCTGCACGGCAGGTGGATGCACAGCGCCTGCAGCATCAGGAGCGACAAATGCGAGACGCAGAGGCCAGGCGGCAGTTGGAGCAGAAGCAGCAACAGCAGGAGCAACAGCAGCAACGGCAAGCGCCAGCTGCTCAGCCGGCGCCAGCCGAGCCACCACAGGCTCCCGCGCCCACCGCTTCGGTCGGAAAGCAGGCGCCGGCGCCTTCCCATCCTCCGCAGCCATTGCAGACTGCACCGTCCCAGCCGGAAGAGTCCAAGAGGCTTGGTTCAAGTTCTGCACAGATCGTGATTGTGCCAATCCCTCAGCGCGATTTGTGCTAGGTCTCAAGCAGACAGTAGACGACGCCGGCCGACAATCACAGGACCAGTCAGTGCTCCTGCAACTTCTTCCACGAAGATGCATGTCATGGAGCGTATCGGCAAAGTCGACGAAGTCTTTTGGCATGGACTCGACACTTCAGGATTCAGCAGCGTTCAGCAAGCACAGCTTCTTGTGCCCAGCTCAAACTGCGAGCGGCAGCTGTTGATGTGCAAGTGTATCTTTGGACATCATGCCAGTAGCATAGCTTCGCAGATACTGTGCGATGCCTGTGTCACCCTGTGTCACCCTGTGTTGCCCGAAGCGTTTTGCCTTTGAAGCGCCTGGCAGAATATTGCAGTGTGAGCCGATGAGTACTATGAGTACAGTAGCTGCATGCAGAGTTATTTATATGTCGAGGGCAATGTGCCCAAGGCAAGCCTGCAACGAGCGGCGGAGAACTTGGACTCCGCGGCGCTGGAGCAGCTCCTACACGAGGCCACACGCAACGGCATCGAGGCGGCCGAGCTGAAGGCGCGGCCTCATGTGCCAGACGACAGGGGGAGAAAAAGCCAGAGCTTCAAAAAAGATGATTGAGAGAGCAGTTTGGGTGCTCCTGCTTTTGACATCATTGGCCGCGAGGAGTACCACAAGAAGATGTGCGACCTGCAGAGCGAGGCCTTCTTGAGGCAGGCTGTGGAGCAAGTCCTCGAGGAGGTGAAGGCCAGGCTCCAAGCAATGCTTAAATTCAAGGCCACTTGGTGTCTTGTTCCTTGCACTTGGGGCAGACATGGGCGCACTTGGGGGCCTTTGGTCGAGGCGGAATGTCCTCCATCGAATGCACTGCACCTCGTCCGCCACGCGAGAGTTGCGGTGAGAGTTGTGGCCGGCATGGTTTGTATGTGTGTGTGTCCTGTCGCCTCAGTCATCAGGCAAAAGCTGCAGAACCTCTCGCATCAGCTGCGCGTGCTGCATGGAGACGCGGAGCTCATCAGATCAGCCTCACAAGCTGTTCAGACACTCGCCGAATTAGAGCGGCCTTATGAGTCTTGTGCCACAGCTCCAAACCAACAGCTGCTGCATCGGTTGTTTTGTCCAAGGCAGGGCACCCGACGACGAACCAAAAGCATTGCTCCCTCGGCACACATGCGTCGGGCAAGCGCCTTCGATGCCAGGACCTCATTCTTATTCTTCTTCTTCTGGCTATTATTATTATTATTATTATTATTATTATTATTTTGATTATTGTTATTATTATTATTCTATTCTGCTCTCATTCTGGCACCCAAAGTTGTGACATCGTACAGTAGCGATCAGGATTTCGTTTCCTGCCGAGGTCAAAAGCACAGAGGAGCTGCGTGTGGCACGCGAAGCCTTTGGTGACCTGAGCTCCTTCTCCAAACTGAAGAGCGAAGGCGGAAGCCTCTCATGTCTTTCTCCTGCGATGCTTGGCTTGCCATCCAGCATTTTCACCAGGCACCTGGAAAGGCCATCGAAGCAGCCAGCTGCATCAGCTGGAGTTGGCTCCGTTCATTGGAAAGATGCTGGGCCATTCCAAGGCAGGGCACTGTTGTGCTTCTGAGACATTCCGAGTCGTTACTTGCTACCTGAGATCATGGGTTTCTGCAAAGTCGATGTGGTGCATGCCGTCGTTCTTTCTGAGCTTGCAGATCGAAGGGACAATGGTAATATTTTGGATCTTGCGCTATTCATCCTTTCTTTGCGAGCGTGTGACGGTATGTCTGGGATGAAGGAAGAGACTCAGAAGTTTTCAGCACGGGCTCATGACGGAGTAACTTGAGAAGGTCCTCTATCTCACCTCTACAGGAGATGCTTGTCAGCCCTGCTGCAGGTGACCATCGCGGAGTCGCTAACACATCTGCCGAAGTCCCGTGAGGTCGGGCGTGACGAAAGATCTGTGCAAGCTCCTTGAGTCATTTTGTTTTTCTCTTCTTTGGAGGGCTTTCGCTGTGCTTTGCCATGCTCCATGTTTTGAGCGCCGGAGGCTGCTGCCGTTCAGACCTTTCGGAACATTCTGATTTGGATGGGGGATCGCCCTGCGCAAGAGTGCCAACGAATTGCCAGTCGTGGCCTCAGCCTTGGGGCATTCCTTGGGGCATTCCTGAACTCGTCAGATTCGGGTGAATCCTGTCAGGCCGAGAGAGCGTCATCAACTCTGTAGCCTGTCTGAACCAGTTCACAGCCTGTTTCACTGTTTCACTGTTGGCTGGCAGTCCTGCCACCCTGATGTACGAACAAAGCATGTCTAGGTCAGTTCAGATCCTCTCATGCGCGATGAAACCTTCGTCCAGATCCTGAAGCACCTGCGCTGAGAGTCAGCGCTTGCACTTGTTCTCAGCCTTGCATGCTCGCACGTTTCCACATTGCTGGTCGGCTTGCTGTTGAGAAAAGGCAGCTGACTGGCAACCCATCAGCGCGCTCTGAGTGGCTTGGTTGGCAGCTGCTCCTACAGCACCCCTGCTGCATCGATTGGCCAGGGGAGGGCAGTACAGGAAGCTGCATCGAATGACCTTCAGAACTTCAACCTGCCGCCAAGGCTGTGCCATTTTACGCCACCAAGTGATGAGTGGCTCTTCTACAGCTATGTAAGAGGTATGTTCAGTTGCGTGAGTATGTCAATGAATTCGTCAGGAATGCTGCCGTGTGCTGATGTTCAGGTTGGATGACTTCGTGCGGTTCTTCTGTGTGCAGGCCGTCGGGCTTAAAAAATCGTATTGTTGACTGTGTCAAGACGGCCTGAGCCCTCGTTCGACTCAGCTGGCACTACCGTAGTGGCTGGATTCGGATTTTTTTTGTCGTCTGGCCTGTGGCTTTTTCTGGCTTATGTTTCATAAGGGTTCGATAGGGTTGGTAAGGTAACTTGGGCCAACCTACAGCCTTGACCCTAAAAAGGGCAAACTCTGTAAGTGGGCGAATCCCTCAACGCAAGTGGGCTTATTTCCCAGGACACGCGCTGAATGATGCAGCTTCCTTCCTTTGCCAATTTTCCTATAATTGCGTCCGAGCCATCGGTAAGCTCATTGGCCTCATCAGTATCAGTATATTTCTGTCCGAGTCGTCTGATACCGGTCCGCCTAAGTCTGCGGCTGTGCTCACAACATCTGAGCCCTGAGAAAACGCACGCTGCGCCGCTGAGCTCCGGTGACGCGCGTGCCCTGGAGCTCGACCGCATCGCAAGAGAATGCATGGAGGCACGGATTCTGGCCATTCCATCATGCAAAAGCCTGGCACAAAGAGGAGAGATTTATTTTTCAAGTGCACGAAAGGCATTGACGGCTGCGGCGCCCGCCAAAGCCACAGACGACACATCTGGGGACATGGTTGGCGTGCTGGTCTACCTGATAGATGGTTCTTCGCAGCAACTTATCTCGATTCACAGTTTCAGACTAAATCGAGAGACAATTGGCAAATCGTGTCTCGTCTGTGGTCTTATGCCTTAAGGAATTTATTCGTGCCGGTGGCAACGACTCTCAAAGACATGTCTTCCTTAATGGGAAGCAGAGTCGGCGTGAAGCACTGGCGGGATTTTGCTTTCTTCCAAACAACTGGCAAGGGTGAGTCGCTCAGGCCGGAGATGTGGCGCCTGTGACTATCCTGTGAGTCTCCTTTGACATGTCGCCAGCTTGGAAGGATGCTTCCAGACATCCTTCCTGTCTCGGAGCTCATTAGCATGTGGCAGAAGATCCGCGAGGCTACTGGCTTGACAGGCCAGGCTCAAAGGCAGAAGAAAGCGGCGGATGCCCAGAGTAGAGATTCCCAGCACCTTCAGATGCATGGTCAGGGCACTTGCATTGGCGGCGGCGGTTTCTGTGGCCTCAGGCCCGGGTTTGCCCAGAAGTTGCCCCTGCCACGAATCAAACTTTTTCTTCTATTTTGTTGCAAGCTGCCAGTCTGTGCAATCACGAAGAGAAGAGCCAACGCCTTAAAACTCCTTGGACATGGGGCTGCAGGAGATGCTCCAGGCTGGAGATCTGCACCATGCGGCTCTCACGTTCCGACAGGCCGTTGCTGCATCGCCTTGACACGAACACGCCACGGGTTGATAAAATGGGACCGATCCCTCAAAAACAGGAGATTCGCAAAAGCAACTCCCTATTTTGCCGTAATGTAATGAACAACCCCCCATGTGTGTGTGTGTGAGTGAGTGACCAGTTCTTTCGGATCTGGTTTGCCACTCGAGGCTGTACGCAGCCACTTGCACCGACCAGCTCCGTGCGCCTTGATAGTCATTAATTTTAACGCTACGCGACCCGCCTCGGCCCGGCCCAGCGCATCCGCGTGAGCATGGTGATTCCGCAGCGCCCAAGTCGCTGGACCCCAAGCAATAAGGGTTGGGTTGAGGGTTGAGGGTTGAGGGTTGAGGGTTGAGGGTTCCGGGTTTATGGTTTGGGGTTTGGGGTTGAGGGTTAGTTTAGGGCTCAAGGTTCACGCTTTGGGGTTGAGGGTTTTTTTGGGTTTAGGGTTCGGCTTGGAGTGATCGTAGGGTTGAGCCAGGCCCCTTAAGGTTTAAGGCGACTCTTCGGCAGGGTGGGGGGGGGGGAGGGGGGGAGGTGGGGTGGGGGGAGGGGAGGGGGGGGGGGAGGGGGGTGGGGGCCCGCGGGGGGAGGGGGGGGGAGGGGGTGGGGGGGTTGGGTGGGGTGGGGGGGGAAGAGGGGGGGGGGGCAACGGGGGGCGCCCTGCTGGGATGGGCTGCAACTGCCTCTGGTCCTGGCGAGACATCCGCTTGCGGACCCTCCTCTCCTAGGGGGGTACCCATTTGAAGCAAAAAAAGGGGGCCGAAAAGTGGCTTTGGGCTTGAAGGGAGGATGCCTGTTCTGACAACCTATACACCTTCGGCCCGAGGCCTCGGCGGATGATTGTTATTGTTGTTACAGTTGTTACACCATGCCAAGACCCCTCAGTGTCAGTAACTATGTCTGAAGAGGTTATCGCACCGTCTCAGCACTTTCAAGTCAGAGGACCTTAGCCTTGGGGCTGCAGACGTCACAGCCCATCGGCTCTGCAAACAACTCCAAGACAGTTCAAGGTTGTGTTGGATTTTCGGAGCTGCGACGTAGCGTCTTGCATCTTTATGAAGGATTCAGTCTCCAGAACCCTTGGGGCCAATCCGACAGTTGATGCAGCTTCCTCCATTTTTTCTGCCACACAAGGGGGATCCGACTCAATTCAATCTCAGGTCAGGCGGGGGCTGAGGCTGAGGAAATGATGACGGCAGCAGCCCTCTTGTGGTTGGAAAGCTGCCCGGCATTGGCTTCAAGTACCAACATGACTGAGTCCAGGGCACCGTCATGTGCCGTTCTTCGGCATGCGTGCTGGAAGGTCTTTAGATTCTACATAAAAGCAAGAAAGGCAGCGCGCATCTGAGGTTACAACCCGCTGCAACAGATTAAGGATAATGACAGGCTTGTTCACGAGCTCCTAAAGGCCAGGATGCGGAAAGCACGAAGGCACCGCCAAGTGGAAGTGTTCCTTGCTGCAACTTCCAGGGGCAGATGAGCGGCTTGAAGCCGACGCAGCAGGATGCTATCAGGCAGCGGCTGCAAGCGAAGGCCGAACGTCGTCGCTGCCGTGCGTAATGCGCTGTCACGTGTTTGTAAGTAAGAGTTCTCATTTGTGAGTGTGAGTGAGGGTGAGTCAGTGTGTGTGTGTGTGTGTGTGTGTGTGTGTGTGTGTGTGTGTGTGTGTGTGTGTGTGTGTGTGTGTGTTTTTTCATACACCTGCATCTGCTAGTGGCGGCAGGGGCATGGTGGGTCGTGGTTGCGTTGGTGGTGCTTGTGCTGAACGTAGATGTGACATGTGGTGTACGGAGTGCCTCTTTTAAAGGAGTCTGACACTTTCCAGGGCTAGTCTTCTTTGGCCCCCTCCGTACCCTGGAGGTCAAGGACTTGCGAAAGGAATATGGGCCACGGGTTCCACAACTGCAACGAATGACGCGAGCGTTTGCGTTGATGCCACTTGGAAAAAGCTTCATCAGTTTGCATCCCGCTGGCCAGAGCAGGGTCTGCTCTCTGCCTTGCTGCGGCCTGTATGACTTCAATGGCGCACGCAACAAGGCGTTGCTTCCCGCACTTTGGCACCCACCACTGGCCAGCAAAAGGAATCTCCGCAGCCAAAGTGTCTTGGAATATCTTGGAATCAGCCAGTTCGTACATGTTGAGTAGAAAAGTGACATAGTGATCGTGGTAGACAGCTGTCACAAGAGCGCGCAACGCGCTGCAAGAGCGTTAGGTTCATGCTGCTGGAAACGCGGCGGTAAGCAATCCGCCGGACAAGCGCTTCGTCATTGCAGTGATTTGCACTGATGCTGTTGTAGCACTGATGGATACTGATGGCGTATCCTCTGTGTAGGGTGCAAGCATGTGCCAACGCGGAAACTTTGCTGAGCTTGGATTTGAGGAATTTGGTTCTGCACCTGCGGCAGACTGAGCCGGAGCTTTGGATTTTCGTCGATACCTTCGGCTTGCACTTGGCTCCGGCGCTGGCCAGTCGCAACACGGCAAGCATTTAGATCCTAGCAGATTCGAAAAAATTGGTGTTGATGATTGGCATCGGCTTCCACGTGGAAACGGCATTGCCCTGCATTGCTCTTCCAAGACACAAGTGGGGCGGCGCTGTGGAGCTTTCTCTTCCAAGACACAGCTTCGTGCAGCTGGCTGGATTCGGTGTGCAGGGTGCTATGTTAACTACAGAGTAGCACATGTAGCAGGTGTAGCCAGTGTAGCCAGGGCTCATGCTCAGCGTGTGCAGAAAAGCATGAACAAAAACAAAAACCTCGGCAGCTCAGTAGCAGTGGCCTATTTCCTTCTGCCAGGTCTGGGGACAGCGAAGTGCATAATGAGACCAGTCCGAGTTCGCCGGCCACTGCGCAGCCCGTCGGCACAGCATGTGTAGATAGAAAATCTCAAGTACTGAAGTACGGCAGGTATTCTCGCAGGAGGTCTCTGAGCGAGATGGCGTCCGACGATGGTCTTGGGCCCAGAGTGGAGCTATGATTGTGCAGAGTGACAGCAGGCAACATGGCGACATGGGACCTGTCGATGCTACTGCAAGGTGCCACAACACCGTCTGTCAGACGGAACATTCGACTGCCCAAGCAATGCGGACGTTTGCTTCGCTGCATGGCCTGTTCGAAGACCCATAGACAGAACGGCATCTTCAGTGACGTAGTCGTGTATTGGGGCAACGTGGTAGAAAGAAGCACGATGCAAGCACAAGGATGCAAGGATGCCAAAGCAACACTCACACACACAAAATGGATCAAAATGGATCAAACCGGAGCGTTTTGTGTCGCTCAGCTCAGGATGGGGAGCCAAGCCTGGTGCCTTGCAGCTGGTCGTGCAGCTCGGAAGTGAAGCCTTGAAAGCCTTGACCAGCAAGGGCCCCACAAAGCATGCATGCAGGTATGTAGGTATGTAGGTATGTAGGTATGTAGGTATGTAGGTATGTATAAAACACATCAACACATAAATGGAGAAATGGGTATATCTAGATAGATATGTATATGTATGTATATATATATACATATACATATACATATTTATGTACTTTTATATTTTTGGGTATCGTTGACCAGCGTGCCTTGTTGGAGCATTGCACAGGCACAGTGCTGACCTTGGACGGTCGGGTCCCATCCTGCCTCAGCTGATAAGCCTCGCTTGTCCGGATGCCTTAGACGTGCCTCGCCTACAAAGACCGGTCATTTCGAATCACCCTCTCCTGATCACAATTGCTCGAATGCTGTGCCAAGGCTGCCTTTGTTGTACATAGCGCGCTCTGTGAGCTCTTGCACCTGCCGACGACATGTTCTTAAAAGGATGCAGTTCTTTTGGGGTTCGCTGGGGTCACTACAGTAGCAAACCAAACGCTACGAGAAGGACGACGAGACGTGAACAACCGCCATCTCAGCGTCTCCCTTTAACGCAAAACCGAAAGGTTGGGCACTGTAGAAGAAACTGCCCAGAGAGCCCTCGGAGATTCTCGCATGAGGTTGGGGCTGGAACATCTAATGTGTGAACAGCTCATCTTCAGCCAAGCCTGCGAAAACGGCCCGAGCGTGTTCTGTGCCATCGGATGCGGTTTGGCACTTCCTGACAAGCTCGCATCTGCCTTCGTCACTGTCGTAAAACGCCAATAGGATACAGCGGGAACAATTCAATCAGGCATTCAAACACGAACTTAGCGTAGACCCCCCGACTACACCGCTAAGCACAACAGCCCCCCTGCTGGCGGTTTTTCGGGAACGTGGCCCGCCATACGGCCCAGTACCCAGAAGCCTTCGCGAAGGCCTTTGTTGCTACTGTGCTCCCCCGCTGGCTCGCTCTCCGGCACCTTCTTCGGGTTGCAATGGCCATCGCGGCCAATGCCGCTGCAGTGCATGCTCAGTTCGCGTTGCGCCGTGGTGGGTTGGGTCATGTTGGGTCTTCGCAGCGCTGAGCTTCACGCTGTTGCGGCTTACTCGGCGTCACTGCGGCGGTCATCGACACGTGCAGGTTGGATGTTGAGGTCGCGCGCCAGCGACCAACCCCGAAAAAATGCCTCCGAAGCCGCTGCCACTTCTCGGCATCAACATGTATCAACGGTCCGAACGCACGATGGTGGTGAATCCACGGCGAACTCAACGAAAGAACAATTGCGCATGAACTGAACGCTCCTTGCCATGTCGACCGCAAACCATTTCAGCTGCAGAGCGGTTTCATCGCACGGTTGGCGTGGCTGTTTTGTGCCTTCATCCCCGTGCCCGCACGTGTTGTTCTGAGGCACATCTGGGAGGCAGTGCCCAGCATAAACAAGACTGCCTGCGTCTTGACTCCCCGTAGCCGCCCGGGCGACCCAGCGGCTTAGTGGGTGGTTGGTGGTTGGGTCCTCCAGACGATCCCGGTTGGTTGGCCCTGCATGGCCGGCTCCACGGAGCGTGCTCCCTTTGTGCTAGGTTTTCTTGCCTAGCCCGTCCCGTACCTCGCATGACGAGGCGTGGGAAGAGCTCCCGGACCGTCACATTGACATGCATTGGGCCCGGGTGGTCGCCACTTCCAGTGGAGTTACCGCTGCTGAAAGAGATGCAAAAAAAGGAGATGCAGAAGATCCGTCTGTGTCAGGCGAGCGAGTCCAGGCGAAGAGTTGGCCCACGCAGAAAGCCCTTGTGGACGGCCGGAATCCTCCCCTTTTGTGGTTCATGGTGGGTTTGGGGTTTTAGGGTAAGTTTCCCCCATAGCCATTTTGGCTCAAGCCATTTTGGCTCAAGGGTTGCTTCCTGTTTGTTCAGGGTTGCAGGGGTCCGACTTCCAGCAGCGTTGGACCGGGATGACCGGGCAAGTGGTTTGCCAAACACAGTTTAAAACGCCGGGGGCACATTACAGCCCAACGCCCAGCCCTTCGCCTGAGACTTCGGAGTGCCTCAGCCCTGTGGCGCCCCCAGCCCCACCAGCACTCCTCGACCGATCAGTGGCGGCCCCGGTTGCGCTCTCCCACCCCGCGCGCACCGGGACCTTCCCCAGCACGCAGTCGCCTTGCGTCCGCGCCAGGAGCGCCCGCAACCACCCCCACCCAGCCCCGCGCGTGCCCGCTAACCAACGCCGCCGCGCGGAAGCGTGCATCCAAAACAGACTGGGCTCCGCCCGCCAGCCACCCTGCCCCTGCCCGGGCTGTGGATACCCAGCCAACCAGCACCAACCCTTTTGGCAGGGCGTCGTCGTCAGCTCACTCGCTCTTGGGGGCTCAGGCAGGCCGTCCCCGTTCTGGGCTTCACCTTCTTGGCACAACCCTTGCCGGACACCCTCCCTCCGTGGCTGCACAGAGCCCCGCCGGCCTTGAAAGCGAACCCCAGCAACCGCTGGCGCCACCACAGCAGCCTCGGCAGCGCGAGTCGCTTGATATTGCGGATCGGCCGCTGGCGCCTTCACGGCAGCCTTCCCAAACATTTGCCTGGGCCTCAGCTTTGTTCGTGCATTGCGTGTGGCGCGCGCACCAAGGATCTCTCAGGCATCCCTTCCGTTTCCTCGGTTTGGACGATCGCAAGTCTGAACCTATTTGCCATGAGCCGGCAGGCTGGCAGTCTCACAGCAGGCAGAGTAGTGCCCTTGGCAGTGAGTGATGGCTGTTGTTTTTGTTGTTGGAGCACGAAGCTCCGCAAAAATTGTGTGAGTCACATTGATGCGTCCCAGTCACGGCAACCTTTAGTAAAAGGCGAAAGATTGGTGCGCCATGAAGTGAACGCTGTGATGGCTAGCTTTGAAACCATGTGATGCAGAAGAAGACAGTCGCAATCACACGTGTGCATGAAGTTTTTCTTGCCGCTGGCCGTCTGCAAGCTTCGTGCGGGTTGTAGTGTAGTGCGCACCTGGTGCTGCCCTCCCAAGGTGGCCGCTGGCGCCTCTTTGGCTGCCGTGGCGTCGGTCTAGCGGTTTCGGCCGAGTTTCCTTCAGCATTGAGGTTTGCACCAAAGTTGTCGCGAACGAAAAGGTGTGCACTCAGAGATACTCAGAGGGTAAGCATTTGCAGCACTCACTGTCCTCACTACACTTCACTACGCAACAGGATCCGCGACCCCCGAGCGCTCCCGCCCGCCGCCCCATCTGCCGCCCAGTGTGCGCCGCCAAGGGCTGCCCTGGATGACACAACCACGCGACACGCTTCCGTGGAGCGCACCTATCCACGCAGCAGTGGCAAAGGGCGGCGCTGCTGACTGCGAATCGCATGACAGTCGAGTGTCACCGCTGTCGTCGTTTTCGTTTCGATCGCCGTTTTCCGTGGCCTCGCATTCGCCGCCCCCTCGGGCAGCCTCACGCCCCGAGGCGCATGCAGCGGAGGACATTGCGTGTTGCGTGTGCGTTGATCTGTGGGGGTTGTCCGCCAAGGTTGTGTTTTGAGTCCTCGATTGTTCTGCGCGGTTCTTCAAACCGCTCTCAGCGCTTGGCGGCAATCTGTCGAGTCTCTAGGTCTTGATTTTGGTGATGGCCTACCACCATTGCTGGACCTCAGATTTGCTGACGACTTATTACACCAAAGCAGCATCAGCTCCTATCGGAGCACCCACCAGCAGTGCCGCCGGTTTGGCCACGCCAGTCTCAGCACCCCTAGCATGCGTCGGCTTGCCCAGTAGTAGTAGCACCAGCTGGCCATGCGGAGCCACCGCAGCACTAAAGCACCAGCTGCCCCCCACGGGGCACCATCCAGCTCAGCCGCGCCAGTCTCAGCACCCCCAGCTCGCATCAGCTTGCTCTGTAGCAGCACCACCAGCCTGGCCATGCGCATCAGCTTGCGTCCACCAGCTTGGCCGCGGCAGTCGCAGCACCAGCACTCGCATCTTGCGTCGCCGCACCACGTCTGCACCAGCAGCTTGAGCGCGCCACCAGCTTGCGGCTACACATCCTAGCACCAGCCCATGAAGCACCACCAAGAACCGCTGGCTGGTCATGGCCGGTCTGAGCACCAACGGCTGCGAGCGCAGCATTGCCCGTGTGCTCGCGCCAAGTGTCGGCTTCAAAGAGCTCAACGCGCTGCAGGAGTGTAGAGCGTCACCTTTGGGGCCACTGCGGCAGCAGAAGGCGGGGGAGAAACAGGAACAACTTCCACGCGCGGTCCTGCACTGGTGCATCGCCTCCGTCAGATGCTTCCTGCACGGCGCTCCGAACACTGGTAAGGGCCTGACGAACTCCCGCGCGACTCAGTGCAGTGTGTGGACCGGCACATGGAACTCGGCACAGAGGATCACAGAGGTCAACCTCGTCCAGGCACGCAAGCGCCGCGTGTGACGAAGCGCAAGGCGTGTGCCCGGAGGCTGGCATAGGCATCCCCTTCCGCGTTAAGTTCATCCGTGTCTCCACCAGGCGGGATTGGCAGCTCGGGGTGGAGGGCTCACGTTGCGACTCACTGCCCACAGTCCCGCGCCCAACAACGCGATTCTTGGTCTCGGCCGCCTCTGCGTTTCTGCGTGCGGCGGGGGCGCTCGAGCACGTCGGGCTCCGCGGCCTGTGGATCCGAATGACCGCGTCCAGCAGGCGAGCAACGACCCATTGATGCCAGCGCTCGTGAGGCGGTGTTCGCCTTCATTGCGTGCGCCCACGGCCGACTTGGCCGCCGCTGGCACCTTGGACCCAGGCGACTGGTCCCTCCACCTGACCAACACGGCCTCACTGCCTAGCCTGCGCGGTTTGGGTGACGCGCCTGCTATCCGCGCCCGAGCACCGGCAGTTGCGGAGCGGCTGCTCGGCCGCCCCGCCAGTGCGCGTGCGAGACGCATTTTGACCGTCTTTCTGACCTGACCCTGGCGGGCGACGCCCAGCCCGGAGCTGATGTGCATCCCGGTCGGGCTGTGGATTGCGCCGCCCGACGCAACGCCGCCAAGCCTACCCCGAGCTCGTGCGCGCTCGCCGCTGCCGTTTGGTGGTCGTCGGAGTGGAGGTTGGGGGCCGGTTCGGCGCAGAGGCGGCCACTTGGCTCCGGCTGCTCGCCGGGCAACGTGCGTCGGACGTTCTGGCGGCCACGCGAGCGGCAGCGCGTGCGGCGTGGGTCGCACGTTGGTCGGGGCTGCTCGCCGTCGCCGCCCAGCGCGCCATCGCCGCGTCCTTGTTGGAACTCCCGCTCGCGGGAGAGTGCAACGTCGCCGGAGAGGCGCCGGAGCTGCAGACGTGCGCTGGCAGCTCCCGGTCATGGGCAGCCGCCAGGGGCCTCACTATAGTATCCCCGGCAGGAGCGCCTCCGTACTCCGTAGGACCAGGTAGGCACTGACGGCCGGGACTCTGGATTGCCGGTAAAAAGGTCCGTTAAAAAAAAAAAAAAATCCTGGCGCCGTGCGCTGCTGCTGTCGCCGGCTCTGCCCGTGCCATTGCCGTCCCGCCCACCACGAGGCCGTCCCCATTCCAAACGCGCAGCTCCGCATTCTGCTGCTGCGGCGCCTGCGCCTTCCCCTGCCGCTCGCTCGGGGTACGTGTCGTGTCGCTTGCGCCGTGCTGTTGCGGCGACGGAGCTCCCTGGCTCGACATCAGCCCGTGGGTGGGGCTCGCCCGCACGCCGCACGTACGAGTGTTGAAACGAGCGTTGCGCCAACCGCGAGATGCGAGCCGTGCCGAAGGGACAAACCGTTGCAACCACCCCGACTCGCGTGTCATCAGCGACGGGCACGTCGATGTTCATGTCGGCGACACGGACGTTGCGGGCAGCACGCGCACCGGCCTCGCGGCAAACCCAAGAAACGGGCGTTTGGTCGTCCTTGGGCTGGAAGTCTGGGCCGCCACCAGCCCAGCGCACCTCGCGATTGGCGGCGCCCCTGGCTGTTGCAGCCCGCCGCGCGTTTGCCTGCTGCTTGCTCGAGCTACCCCTAGCGGCATTGCGGCAAGTTGGGCACGAGCTGTGGCCCGGCCCCTTGAAGCTCTGCAAGCGCTGTCAGCCGGATGCCCAGCACGCCATGTTTTTGCAGAAAAATACAAACAAGTTGCTTGCGCAGAGCTTGCGTTCGCCCTTGCGTGTCCGCTAATCGACCTCCCAAGTATCTCACAAGAACCTGGCAAAAAAAAAAAAAAAAAAAAAAAAACAACAACCCTCAAATAGGTTTTGAAGAGCATCTTTCCAAATCACGCCATGGTAGCCGTGTCTATAGTGTGTCTATTGACTCCTTCTTAAGACCCCAAATGAAAAAAACCATGAGTGGAGCATGTGTTTTTTCATGCCGTTTTGCGCCTGACGATTGAACTACGTCCGCTGTTAGACCCGAGTGTTGCACGTGTGTCATACTTCGTGCAAAAGGGGTCGAAACAATGGATGATGCTCCACTTTTGAGGGAAGACAGTGAATCCAAGAGTTAAGGAAAATTAACTCTGAAGTTAATTGACCGGCATCGGGCCGGCTCGACGCCCCTTAGGTCCAGCACAATTAACTCTCGATTTAATTGCCTGTTGACGTCGCGCGACGCGGCATGCCATGCCGGCAAGCTTTTCAAGGAAAACAATTAAATCAGGATTTAATTGTTTCTGCTAAACGATCCCAACCCGCAGAAACAATTAAATCACGATTTAATTGTTCCCCCCCCTACCTTTCAACAATGAAATCACGATTTAATTGTTCCCCCTAAAGTAATAGTAATAATAATACAAATAATAATAGTAATAGTAATAATAATAATAATAGTAATAATAATGATCGTAATAGTAATAATAATAGTAATAATAATAGTAATAATAATAGTAATAATAATAGTAATAATAATAGTAATAGTAATAATGATAATAATAGGAATAATAATAATAAGAACAATAATAATAATAGTAACAATAAGAAGAAGAAGAAGAAGAATAGTAATAGTAATGGAAATAGTAATAGCAAAAAATAATAGCAATAATAATAATGATAATAATAGGAATAATAATGATAGTAGTAATAATAATAGTAGTAACAATAAGAAGAAGAAGAATAATAATAGCAATAGCAATAGCAATAGCAATAGCAATAGCAATAGCAATAGCAATAGCAATAGCAAATAGCAAATAGCAAATAGCAAATAGCAAATAGCAATAGCAATAGCAATAGCAATAGCAATAGTAATAGCAATGGTAATAGTAATAGTAATAGAAATAATAATAGTAATAGTAATAGTAATAGTAATAGTAATAGTAATAGTAATAGTAATAGTAATAAAAATAGTAATAGTAATAAAAATAGTAATAGTAATAATAATAGTAATAAGAAAAAAATAATCACAAGAAGAATAAGGATAATAATAGTTGTAAACATAATAATCATAGGAATAATAATAGTAATAGTAATAATAATACTAATATTAATAATAGTCATAAGACTAATAGGAATAGTAATAATAAGACTAATCGTAATAGGAATAATAAGACAAATAGTAATAGTAATAATAAGACTAATAGGAATAACAATAATAATAGTGCAATTAAATCATGATTTAATGGTGCAAACAGGTACCAATTAGCACAAGTCTTTGCTGCACCATTAACTCACGATTTAATTGTCTTCCAGTCAAACGCAAAGAAACACAATTAAATCACGATTTAATTGTGTTTTTGTAGGGATAAGGTATGTCGAGGTAGGTCAAAACCCAACCCAGAAGCAACAATTAAATCAGGATTTGTTTTTTTTTAACTTCTGGATTCATGGGTTTTCCCACTTTTGAGTGCCTCCCGGGGGTGGGTCCAGAAATAGGCGGCCCGTGTCTTTGGTTTTTGTTAAAGGTTTCGGGGGGGGGGGAGGGGGACTGTAGCAAGGCATGTTCTCTCAGAAAGGCACTCGGACAGAAACCTTTTTAGCGCGAGCTGTCTTCACCGGCATTTGTGTCTGCTGCGTGCCTAATTTGAAACCTCGATCTTGAATGTACGTTTCATGGCCAAATTGAGTTTGCGAAGTGTGGCCCCGGAGTGTAGCTCGCCCAACGTGGCTAGGCACACGCATGTGGCAGTTTGTCCTTTTTTTGTCTGTTCCTGAACCTACAACACGACGGCGGGTGAAATTCGCAAGACCTCAATGAGTTTCACCCGCCATCGTGTTGCAGCAGGTTCCGGAACAGACACAAAAGGGACAAGCTGTCACATGTGGGCTGTGCCTATCCGCCCCAAAACCCCCTCGCCTTCCCCGCCCTTTTGGCATGCGCGTAGGAAGCCTTTATCCCAGCTGCAGAGGGCGGAGGGGTGGGGACTAATGCCCCTGTCTGGCTGTCCGTGGGACGTGTTGTGCCACTGTTAGGATGTTTTGTGGCTGTCTGTGGGACCCCTATGGGACCGGGAACGCCCCAAAAATAAGCGGGAAGGAGGGGGGGGACTGTAGCGCGCAAAAGGCCCTGCCCTTTATGATCCACCCCAAACCCCCGCCCTCGCCGCCTGTTTCTGGCATTTTCTGGCTGTCTGTGGGACCCCTATGGGACGCCCCAGAAACAAGCGGGAAGGAGCATTCAGTGGGTGCGGCGAACAGGCGAGCATTTGAGCTTCAGGGCCCAAAAGTTCCCGAACCTTACCAGTACTTGCGAAAACCTCGCGTGCGCAAGCCCGCTCAAGGGACACGCAAGGGCGAAGAGCAAGGGATGCTAACTGGCAGTCGTGGAACAAGGATATAGAACAACCCTCATTTGTACTTTTTTGCCGCCCGATGCTGTCAGCCGCAGTAGATTCTTGCACGCTTGGTTTGTGTCGGCGTTGCAATGTCCGGACGTTTGCGCGTAGTTGCATCATGAGCGTGCCGCGTTTGGCAAATGGACGCATGTTCATGACAACTTGGATTTGTTGGCCCAGGATGTGCAGACTGAGTAGACCAAGATGTGGGGAATCGAGTGTTAGATGCAATGCAATGGTGTGACAATGATTGCCAGCCACACGTGCAGTTTCCATCGCGCCGCGCGGTGGCAACATCAATGCCGAACACAGCACAGTTCGTTGCGACCAAAACTGGTGCGAAACATGCCGATAGCATCAAGACGTGAGCCCTCCCGGCAATACAGGCTTGATTCTGCAGTGCTGGCCGGCATGCTCTGCTCTTTCATGGCGGCGCGTTGGCGAGCAACTTCTCGAACCGCCAAGGTTCGGGAGGAAGAACTGGAAAAAGGAGCAGAGGCAGAAGAGGATTACAAGCTGAATTGGTTTAGCAGATTTACCACTGTTGATCTTGCCCTTTTCCAGCGCCCTCGTGCATATGCAACCAAGCATGCATTGGATCGTGCCAGGGAGGGTAAGAGAGTCAGGTTGAAGGATCTTTCGCGCAAAGATGGCCCGAACGTGCCCATTTCACAGTTGGAGAGTCCTTTTTACAGACTCGTTGCCTTTGTATCGGCATTCGCTGCATATCCAATTCTGGTGCGTGCTTTGCGCGCTCTTCTGCATGACGATCTTGGAGCAAACACGGATGACCTCGCGGATGTGGTGACCGAGTTCGTAACGGTGGAAACCTTTGTTTTTGGCAGCTATGCTGGCGTGACTCTCACTGTGCAGATGCAACGTTTGGCAGAACTGCAGACAGAGTCCGTGAAGGAAAGTGCTTTGTTGTCAGCTTTGTCAGAACATTCGGTCGAGTTGTTTGATTCCTTGGACAAAAGAAAAGTCCCCAACCGAGTTCGAGCTGCTGTAGCTCGACATGAAGAAAAGGCACTAGAAGCATTGTGGCATCATTCAGAACGGATGGCTTTTGGCACAAGGGGCCAGGAGTTGATCGACATTGCCGACCGCAGCCGAGAAAGTGACAGCGTCAGCAACTTCCGGCGAGCACTCTTGAAGTGGGGCCGTATTCGACGAGAGTCACAGGCTTCGGTGGCGGTTTACGATCCAGACTTGCAAGTTGTTCTATCTTTGCTGAACAACCTGAGGGATTTCAGGGCTGGACGGTTGTCAAGGGAGTCATTGACCCTGCCACCAACCTTTTTTTGGACATTTGGATTGCTATCAATTTTCATTTCCATATCATTTGCATTGAGAGAGGCCGCCGATCCCAACAGCGAGTTTTCCATCGTAGACCGCTGTTTCTTTGCAACGCTTACGCTTGCATTTCTCACCTTGTTTCGCTTGGCTGTGGATGTGAATTATCCCTTCGGTGGCGACTATCAGATCCGACGTGGCACTTTGACAGCAGAGCTGGTTGCAGCACGCACCACCCTTGCGGAAGCTCTAGGGCCAGAAAGATTATCTGCATACGAGGCCAAAGAAGCCTCCAAACCTGGCGCCCGCAAGAAAACTGCCGAAGGTTTTGTCATTTGTCCAGTGGTTCGTACATGCGCAGCAATCTTTCGTTTTGCCCGCGATGGGTTGTGTTGCATGTTGTTGTCAGTATGCGCTGCAAAAAGAAAAAATAAACAAATGGAGGTGTGCGTAGCCCACCTCGGCTCCTCCCGCATGTTCAAAGATTCTCGAAAGGGTTTGCAGCACAAACTTAAAACATTGTAGTTGCTACGCTGACAGCGAATCGCTGGCCCAACATAAGCTGGAAAGCAAAGGTCGGCGGTGAATGCACGCTGAGCACGCCTGTTTCAGCAGCTGCTTTATGATAATGTGCAGTGTTCGACAGGCATGGCATGCGACGGCAGTAGTTCCACGACTGCTGACCCTCGAGAGCAGACGGGCGCTCAAGACATCAATAGTTTCTTGTGCTGGGACAGACGATCTTTTGCGCGTTACGGTGGGAGATAGGGAACCGGGAAATTCATGAGTTCTAGATGACACCCATGCAAGGTTTGCACTGTTGTCCCTGATCCGTCTCCAGGACCACGCTTCTTACGAAAACGCTTTTGCCACATGCGCCCATGAGTTTGGCTAAGTGCCATTGTCTCAAAATTACAAGACTGCAGACGTAGTAGTAGGCAGTGCATTAAACCGACTGGCAGCCGGCATGGGTGGGTGGATATGCTGTTTGCTGTCAGGAGCTCCTGGGTGACAAGTCAGCCGGCTTGGATGAGAGGACCCAAAGCCAAACATGTGCGTAGACTACATGTGATGGGGAACGCATCCTGCTCTGCTGAGCTGCGCCCGTTGAGGGGCTCTTCGCCGACGAGCACCGGCAGTGGAGCTAGTTGGGTGGACTTCGCGAACGCCATGATCTCACTGCACGCCGTGTCGCACAGGCCAGGCTCAGAAGTCACTGCAGACATGAATTCGGATGTCTTTGTCACGCCTTGCGCCCGAGGACACGAGAAGCATGCCCAAAGGGTGCATCCACTCAGCAGAAAAGCCCCGGCATCCTGACTGCTTTTCTTCCATGGCCCGTTTTGTGGTGTCAGCTTACATTGAACGCGAAGCTTGGCCCAAGCAGCCCAAGACCACATGCTTCCAAGTTGCTCCTTCGACTCTCACCGAAACAGCTAGATGAAAATGTATGAATCTTCCTAGACCAACAGGTTCTCTGCCACAGTAGCGTGATTCACATGCCCATGCGGGCGAGCATCCGACACAGCACATGCCGGACCGGAGAGACCGAAGCATTCTGGTGCTGTGAAGCATGTTAGTGTGGAACATTTGCGCCGGCAGGATGCTGCAAGCGTTGCAGATGATTCCCGACAGATTCTGATCGACCAGGCGCGTGCCCCTCATTCAGCTTAACAGCTCAGCTCAGTGTGTGGCAGCTACCGTAGTCATCTGAGGTCAAAAGTCATCAGAAAGCTTCCGCAGCTTTCCAAAAAGCCTGGCATGCATATTGCGACGAGCATGGTGACGGCATATATGACCCGGCAAGGCCAGCGTGCGCCGATGATTGACGTGGGTAATTGCGTCCAATCTCGGAGGCACAAGATCCAGTTGCTGGAGGAGTTCCTGAAGACGGCCGCATCGAAGGTTGCAGGCTTGCGATTGTCCCCCCTCCTCCCCCCCCCCCCCGGTGCAGTGGTGGTAGTAGCGAATGGATGATGACAGGCTCCAAACGGAAGAGAAAGGAGGCCCTGTAAACCCGTGAGGACATTTAAGGCCCGTTTCTGCCTGTTGCTTTGTGTGCTGGCTATTGGAGGCGACCGGCTCCGGCTCGGAGTCGAGTCGCAGCAGAACACGAAGAAGACGAAGACATGGAAAGGTCGCACCCCCCAGTCCAGATAGGCACATCACGACTGCCCCGCAGCCGGCTGAAGATCCTGCTGTTCCACGATGTTCCGCTTGTTCTGACTGAGGGCAGGCGGCGAGCGCATGGAAGAAGGCGGACTTGATAATCGCAGACTCAGACCAGCAAGGCCCTGATGCGCACAGGCACAGGCGAGACCGGCGCCGCAGAGATCACCGAGGAGCCGAGACAGAGCTTTCATGTCAGCAGTTCTCGAATGATTGCAAAGGATATCAGGGATTGTCGACATTGCTTCATCGAGTCGTCGTGTCAACGTAGCCATCGCAAAATTTGGCTTTACCAAAAATCCAAATATATCCACATCATAGCTGCCATACTGGTAGCACATGGTGAGGGCACGCTTCACTGATTCAGGTCGTTTGAGACAACACCCTATGTTTCAAAAAGCGGCGGTTGACTTTGCGCACCATGCAGGACGAAGGCGTCGGAAAGGCCGCAGGAAGAGATCGCTCGGGCCTTGGTCTCCATGGAGGCGACACATGTCTTGGACGGTCAAGCTCAGGCGCTCGCGAAGCAGTTCAGGAAGCTCTGAGAGGCATGGAGCCGATTGTGCGAGATGAACGCATTTTGGAATGCTCCAGAAGCCGTGTGCCAGGTCAGGTCTTCCATCACGCGCCACGGCCATCAAGGTGCAAGCCATGAAGTGAAACTAAAAGACCCAGTACTGTACCTTTGGCGATGCTGTGCTGTGCCGTGGACTCCCGAGGGTGCGGAGCGAGCCGTCGCGGCAGCCGCTGAAGAACTGAGCAGGTTAAAAGCGGATCCTGCCAGCTTCCTGGGTGCCATCGTGCGCGCCGTGGATTGTGGAGCTAAAGTGGAGTTCCTCCCAGGATGCTGGTGTCGACAACCCAGCAATCGACGAAAAACAAAAGGAGGAGGCCGGCAGATACCACGGACCGCGAGTGACGTAGATTCTTTGTGGCTTCGCTGGGCCTGAGACACTCTGCGTGCATGGCACGGCCTGGAGCCACTGTATGTTGCCTGTAGATGGACAATGGCCTGCGAACTCTGCAGAGAGAAGCGGACGCAGAGCTGCAGGTGAGACCTCGGCTGTGCATGGCGGGTTCGGCTGGCGCAGCATTTGGAAGCGTGCCAGGCGCAGCTCGAAGAGGTCAAGGAGAAACTCGCTCGGGAGAAAGTCTCCCGCCTAGTAGAAGCAGAAGAGAAGTTGGACCAGGCTCGGCTCAACACCATCTCAACACCGGAGGATTGGCTATGTTTAGCTCCCTTCTCCGAGCCCGAGCCCCGTCTCCGATCCCAGGCCATTTCGGAGAGGCTCAAAGAAGCCGAAGACAAGCTTCGACAGGAGGTGCGAGCTCAGCATCTCTCATCGCCACACCCGGAGAGTGGATAAAAACCAATGCTTCTTTCTCCAAAGATTCTGCGGAGAGGCTCAGGGAAGAATCGACGAAGCACGAAATCTGGCTCAGGCGGCTCACTTCACGCAAGAGAGAGAGAGAGAGAGACAAAGAGACTCGTTTAAACGTTGCAGCCGCTGACCCATGTTGCATGTCTGGGCAGGCGAAGGTCGAAGCCATCATGGCAGATGTCACGAAGCTGAGTGGTTTCAAAGTTCGCCTCGGAGCAACAGTGAAAGAAGTAGCGCGCCAGTTTGAGGCGCGGCCAAAGATTGAATCCTCCTGGCTGGATCAGCTCAACGACTTGGAGTCGAAGGCAAGGGCGGCCCGTCCGACGCCCGGATGATCCCGGATGCAGCCTTGGCAGTGGCGTCTCGCATGATCTTGGCATCAAAGGTGCGGCCGCCGATGCTTTGACAAAGTCCTAGGCTTCTGCCTCTGTAGAGTCCACAGCGCTGGTCTTCATTCGGTGGAAAAAGCGTCCAGCTCCAGCAAGCGTCCGACGCCAGGTAGCTCCGCACATGAGGCCTCGTATCTCTAGGAGCCCGTTACGCTTTATGATCAGAAGCCAAGGAGGCGGCAGATACATTCCACATTGTGAAATGTTCATGTGTTCATGTCTTGAGCACACTTGCAAGATATTCACCAACGTTATCCAACCGTGACCTAACAGCACGGTCGCCACGATTGTCGTGATACATAGCTATGGCGCACAGAGATGAAAGTGAAGATGATGAAGAGGTGGGCTGCCATCAAATGGCGGATTTTATTAGACACTTGAAAGGAATGCAGCTGTATTGTTCGAGCGAGGTGGCCGATGCGCTGGAAGCGCGACTTTCCACGCTCCAGCACCTTTCACCTCAAGAAGCGGCGACCATGTTGGGTCGCATGCCCCCTCGCCAAGCCGGACAGCTTGCTTCAGCCTCACCGGGGAAACACGTACTCGTCGTTAGCTGGGGTCTGACACGCAAGAAACGCAGTTCCACCAAGTTCCACCAAGGTCCTGCTGATGGGTAGCGGCAATCGTGCTACCATACTGGCGGCCATGTCCGATGCTGCAAAGGTGTCTGTGGCAAGCACGCTGCCAACAGACACAGCCGAAGCCCTGGGCCTTGTGGTTTCAAGCGCTGACGGTGGCTTGGCAGCAGTTTCTCAGATGTTCGCAGGGGCTTAGGGCAGAATGGGCAGCTTTCTGCTTGTTTAGTGCCACGCTACACATGTCCAGGTACAGAAACAGGTGCGGCTGACTCTGCCTTTTGGACTGAATAGCAGCACCGTTTCGACTTGTTTGTGGATGCTTTCCGCAAGTGTTAAGTTTGGGCCCCCCTCCTTGTTCGGAGCAGAGCAGTAGAAGTCGTCGACGTAGTCTTCTCTGGCGCATGCTGGTGTATGCAGCGGAGAGGGTCGAAAGAGAATGGTAGAAATAGAAATTTCACCATAGAGCAACATAGAACACTTGCAATAGCTGCCACGGCCCTCTTACTAGGACGCATTGGAGGCGCCCACTGTTCATGGAGGCCGACGGCTACCGTTTCATGCAGAAGACATGGGCGTTGGATGTAGGAACTGGGTGGATCTGACTGATCTGACAACTAGGTCCTTGGTGCAACCGAAATGTGATGTTGCAGTGATGTTGTTCCAATGCGGACGCGGATGTGTAAGCCCAAGTCCTGTGCGCAGGCTCTGGCGATCATTGCACTGAGCCCCCTGCACTACGAGCAGAAGAAGCGAACTCGAGCAGGGAAGAAGTGCAAGAAGCTGAAAGCTTGCCGGTGCAGCAAGAGGAAGAGGGGGAGGAGTGTCAAAAGGCAGATGGGCCGAGTAAGCTTGCGGAGGGGATGAATGCCAGCGTAGGCACGCAGCAAGATGAACGTGGACTGCGCGAACCGATACAAAGTCCAGAGACTGAGCCGGCCGAGCCGGTGGAGCCGGTGGAGCCAGCTCAAGAAGAGGAGCTTGGCCCCAAGTGCGATGCAGAGTCAGACGAAGGCCCTGAAAGCCACGAGCAAGAAGACCAAGCAGGCCAAGCTGGGCATGCCGAGGATGCCGAGGATGCAGCGGCTTGCACGGTGGCTGCTAGCGAATCAACAGCGTCCAGCGGTGTCGATGTGAATGGTGGCGACATGGATTGTGCCAGTGGCCAACCTGCAGCCCGTCATGAGCCCGTCAGGGAATCAGACTCTGGATATCCCACTTCGCCCCTGCCCGTGTCATCCGTGTCATCCGTGTCACAAGCGGACAAGTCGGACAAGCAGCCGGAAGCTTCAGCTCCGACCACTGCGCTGGAGGCACATCCTTTGGTCGCACGCCGTGGTGTGCTGGTTTGCCAGGCTGAATTGCCTTTTTAAAGGGTCTTTTTGTTTTTTTTTGGGATTTGTTTTTGCTTTGTTGTTGTTTTCGTATGGCAGGAAGGAAAGGAAGCAAGGAAGCAAGGAAGCAAGGAAGCAAGGAAGCAAGGAAGCAAGGGAGCAAGGGAGCAAGGGAGCAAGGGAGCAAGGAAGGAAGAAAGGAAGGCCAACAAAGCATATGAATCTTGCAGAAACTCATCATGTGAGCATTGTGTTTGCAAATGGGGAGGGGGGGCTGCGCCCCCTCCCAACCCCACCGCTTTTTTTAAGCCGTGCAACGCGTGCTTCAATTCTTATGAATCTTGTTGAAACCCATCGTTTGAGCATTGGTTGCAAATGGGGGGGGGGGTGCGCTGAGCAACCCCCCCAACCCCCCCCCCCCCATTTGCAACCACAATGCTCACACGAGGGTTTGCAACAAGATTCATCTTTTGCTGAAGCACACTTGCACGGCCTTAAAAAAGAGGAAAAAAAGCGGGGGTGGGGGGGGGGGGGGTTGGGGGGGGGGGGGGGGGGGGGTTGGGAGGGGGGGGGGGGCCCAAGCCCCCCTTTTTGCAAACACAAGGCTCACATGATGGGTTTCAACAAGATTCTTAGGCTTTGAAGCACGCTTTGCAGAAGCCGGGGGGTTGGGGCGGGGGGGGGGGGCGCAGCCCCCCATTTGCAACCAATGCTCAGACGATGGGTTTCAACAACATTCATATGCCATATGCTTTGAAGCACACTTTGCACGGTTAAAACAAACGCGGGGGGGTTGGGGCCCCCCCCCCCCCCGCCATTTGCAACCAATGCTCAGACGATGGGCTTCAACAAGATTCATAGGCTTTGAAGCACGCTTTGCCTTTTTTTAAAAAGCGGGGGGTTGGGGGCGGGGGCGCAGCCCCCCCCATTTGCAACCACAATGCTCACACGATGGGTTTCAACAATTCATATGCTTTGAGGCACACTTTGCATGGCCTAGTTAAAGCGAGGGGTTTGGGGGGGCACAGCTCCCCCCATTTGCAAACACAATGCTGACATGATGGGTTTCAACAAGATTCTTAGGCTTTGAAGCACGCTTTGCACGGCTTAAAAGAAGCAGGGGGTTGCCCCCCCCCCCAAGCCCCCCGCTTTTTTTAAATGGTGCAAAGCGTGCTTCAAAGCCTATGAATCTTGTTGAAACCCATCGTCTGAGCATTGGTTGCAAATGGGGGGGGTCTGCGCCCCCCCAACCCCCCGCTTCTTTTCAGCCGTGCTTCAAAGCCTATGAATCTTGTTGAAACCCCATCATGTGAGCATTGTGGTTGCAAATGGGGGGCGGGGGGCTGCGCCCCACATCGAGGGGGTCGTCGTTCACGAATTGGAATGCGCGCGGCGCCTAAGCCAAAAGCCCCAACCAAAAACAAAAACACTTCCCAGAAAAAAAACAAAAACTCCTTATTTAATTCCGCGCCCTTGCCAGCCACACAGATTCGGAATACAGATGTTCAAGGAGTTGAAGTGTAAAAAAGAAACCACGACGTGACAGGAGGATGTCGAGCCTGAGATTATCGACACCTGGCTCTTGGGCCACAAGCCCGCCGTCATGCCCTTGGCTTTCGGACTTGAGGATGCTTCAGATGCGATTGAGTGACTGAGTGCCATTTCTACTGGACGTCCGAGCGCAGGTCCGAGAACACCCTTGCAGAACTGTGTTTGTTCCTGTGCCAGCGTCTCATGCAAGACTTGGGAGCTGTTCCACCGCCGGTGCTGAAAGCACCTTGGTAGCACCTGTTCTGAGCTGAGGATGGAACCTTCAAGCCGTCGAGCCTGGCTCTTGGTTACGCACTTGCGTGAGTGCATGTGAGTGCCCAAGCGAAGACGTGCGCCGTGGGTAAGATGCCCAGAGCCCAAATACTCGTACCATTCGTACCCCAAGCAAAGCAGAGTGGCGCGCTCTGAATGCGAACAACTTGACTGGCCTTGGAGCTGTCCGTCCCAAGATTCCGCAAGGCTGAAGATTCCAGTGAGGCGGCACAGGTGAAGACTATGCTCCGTTTACATGTGCTGACTTGTTTTGCTCCAGCAGTCTGTACACTCTGGAGATGCGTGAAGCACTTATGCACTTGTGAACCAGACCTCAAGTTCGTGGAAAGCTGGTCCGAAGGTGGCATTGAATTTAAGCCCGCTGCCCAATGCGACCATTGCTGGACGCCTATCCCTCTTTTCGTTCTCAGTTCTCGCAGGTGCAACAACTTCAAGCATGACGAAACACAGTTGGTGCATGCTTGCTTCCAATGAGTCAATGAGGCCAGATACTTTCAGGAAACACCTGTGGAGGACCTTCCTGGCCACATGTGGAAACTCGTGCCATCTAAGTTTGTCAGTGCACCTGCAGGAATGGGATGCAATCCTTGCACATTTCCCTCCGGAAAGGCTGCCGCACCACAGTTGCCATGGAAGGCACGACAGCGCCTGTCTCTTGTGCTATGGCTGCTATGGCAAGGAGGAAGGACATCATGGAGATACTCTGGGAGGCCTGATTGCCTGATTCCCGATCACATGCGATCACATGGTAGCATGGAGGAGAGCCCAGTGCCATGCACCGCCACGAGGACACAAGCTCCTTCAGTTCTGAGTCTTCTTCCAAAGCCTCTCGGTGGCGGGCAAGATGTGTGCTTACATGTGGTACCATGAAACGCTTTGACAAGACAAACATGAGCCAACTGCCTGACACTGGCATCTCGAGGCCATTCCAGCGAGAATGTCCCGTGCCATGGGTGGCGGACTCATTTCCTTGCCTGTGGTTTTCGATGAGTTTTTCAAGTGAAGAGAATCGAAGCCCTAAACCGCTACTGACCTCGCTCGAAGTTGTGAAATTGCGCCTTCGCACAATGTGCTCACCACAGATCTACAGTCAGATAAAGCAAAAATGATATGCACGTTGCCGTTCTTCATAAGCTTCGGAAGTTAGAACAAGTGCAGCGCACCGCTTCAATGTGTCTGCTTCAGGTCAGGAATGGTGTCGCAACAGCGACTGAAAACAGGAGAAGTTTTGTTTGTCGTGGGACTGTAACCCATGGGTGGCAGATGGAAGGCGAAAGCTTTCACAGTTCACAGGTCGCGATGTTGCGCGCAGACTTTGTTCGTTCGGTGGTTGTCGTAATGAGAGCTTTGTTGTTTTTTTTGCTGGGGGAC